TTTGCACATGAAATAACCAATGCAAGCATGTACATTAGTATGTGGGATTAAGACGTTGTTGTCTAGCTAAGCTACGAACATGTATTGCATAATTGAAATATATGTTATGTATATATATATATATAGCAGTCTTGATGGTTTTAAAATACCCCTTAATCTAAAGCCTTACTGAATCTTTTCTTGGGATTACTTGTTCTCATTTTATTAAAAAAATAAGAAAACAGTTAATAAATGTCCATATTTTTTGTTTCCTCATGTCGTTTCAGGGATAGCTTATTTTTGACTTGTTAAAGACTTGAAATCTAAAACACAGGACTTTGATTTGACGTGAGACTTCTTAGTCTTTAACTTGTGAGTCAACTTGAGACTTTCCCATCTGTACTTTACTTTTGTCATGATCGGTTTAAGGTATGTGACCCACACGCAGAGAACACACTCAGAAAACACGGGAAAAAGTTTAACAGGTTTATTTGTTATAATGTGTACAGGAGTAGGATCTGGAACTCAGTGGACTGGTGAACCGGCCGAAGGTCTAAGGGGAGACCACAGAGATCAGTTCAGGGACTGTGGGAAATTTGACTGTGACCTGAATAAAGCTGGAGCGGGACTCACGTCTGAGGGGGTTCTTGTCAATCCTTGAATCCAGTCTGTGTGGGATTTTCCCAGAGAAGAGGGAACTCGTTGGAGAGCGGACAGGTAGACATACACTATATTGCCAAAAGTATTTGCTCACCTGCCTTGACTCACATATGAGCTTAAGTGACATCCCGTTCCTAATCCATAGGGTTCAATATGACGTCGGTCCACCCTTTGCAGCTAGAACAGCTTCAACTCTTCTGGGAAGGCTGTCCACAAGGTTTAGGAGTGTGTTTATGGGAATTTTTGACCATTCTTCCAGAAGCGCATTTGTGAGGTCGCACACTGATGTTGGACGAGAAGGCCTGGCTCTCAGTCTCCGCTCTAATTCATCCCAAAGGTGTTCTATCGGGTTGAGGTCAGGACTCTGTGCAGGCCAGTCAAGTTCATCCACACCAGACTCTGTCATCCATGTCTTTATGGACCTTGCTTTGTGCACTGGTGCACAGTCATGTTGGAAGAGGAAGGGGCCAGCTCCAAACTGTTCCCACAAAGTTGGGAGCATGGAATTGTCCAAAATGTCTTGGTATGCTGAAGCATTCAGAGTTCCTTTCACTGGAACTAAGGGGCCAAGCCCAGCTCCTGAAAAACAACCCCACACCATAATCCCCCCTCCACCAAACTTTACACTTGGCACAATGCAGTCAGACAAGTACCGTTCTCCTGGCAACCGCCAAACCCAGACCCGTCCATCAGATTGCCAGATGGAGAAGCGCGATTCGTCACTCCAGAGAACGCGTCTCCACTGCTCTAGAGTCCAGTGGCGGCGTGCTTTACACCACCGCATCCGACGCTTTGCATTGCACTTGGTGATGTATGGCTTGGATGCAGCTGCTCGACCATGGAAACCCATTCCATGAAGCTCTCTGCGCACTGTTCTATAGCTAATCTGAAGGCCACATGAAGTTTGGAGGTCTGTAGTGATTGACTCTGCAGAAAGTTGGCGACCTCTTCGCACTATGCGCGTCAGCATCCGCTGACCCCGCTCCGTCAGTTTACGTGGCCTACCACTTCGTGGCTGAGTTGCTGTCGTTCCCAAACACTTCCATTTTCTTATAATACAGCTGACAGTTGACTGTGGAATATTTAGGAGCGAGGAAATTTCACGACTGGATTTGTTGCACAGGTGGCATCCTATCACAGTTCCACGCTGGAATTCACTGAGCTCCTGAGAGCGACCCATTCTTTCACAAATGTTTGTAAAAACAGTCTGCATGCCTAGGTGCTTGAATTTATACACCTGTGGCCATGGAAGTGATTGGAACACCTGATTCCAATAATTTGGATGGGTGAGCAAATACTTTTGGCAATATAGTGTACGTTGGACCCAGAGGAGTAATGGAGCGGACTGTCTCTTGGATTTCCGATGGGAACTTGAACGGGAACTTGAACTGGCAAACACTCTGGCCTCGAGGTAGTGACAGACCACTGCTAAAATACTCCTCCAGTAATGAACCAACGAGCTGCATGTGTGCAGGGAGGCCCAACGAGAACAGGGCACCACCTGGTGGTGGAGAGAGAACAAACACACAAACAACCCACACAAACTGGATCCCTAACAACTTTAAGACTTGACAATAAAAAATTTAAGCCTTTAGTGTGACTTGTGAAGGACAGATACAGTATCTCATCTGCTGAAAACCTTTCTTTGTTTAAATAAATGTTTTGTAAATCATGTACATTTATTAATCACTAACTTGTAGCTATGATTAAATATAAATATACACACAAAAAACACAGACTAGGTGAAATAATACTTAATAATGGGCAATATAAGATCTAATATAGCTATGAACTGCCATGGAAATAATGTTTACACTGACTTCATTCTGATCATTAAGGAAATCCAACAGAGTTTTGAACTCACTGTGTGGCTACACTCGTGTGGCCTTGCAAGCACTCAACACACCATTCCACTACAGATGAGTACAAATACATTGAAATCTTCTGTGCTGTAATAAATGTATCTAAATAACATACTTTCTTTAAATTATATAATGTGTTTATCCAAATGTTACTGTAGTGTTCCACAAGGTTCAATTTAAGAATACAGAATCTGTATTGTTATTTTGGACCTACAATGCAATTTCTGTTGAGACACTCTGCTCAGAACACACATATATAGAACACAAACAGAATTAAAACAATTTCAAAATAAATGAGCATCTTTAAAAGTGTTCCTCAAGAAGTAAGACATAACAAAACATAAACATTTAATGGAACAGGAAAGTTGGAGCACTAATAGCATCTGTAACAACCCAAAACCGAAGTATGGGATAAATGCATGGAGATATAGCATTATTTATTTACATAAAGTGCAGCTCATGTTAAAGCTGCCTTTTAGTGAACATTAGTCATGAAATGGACTATTGTGGATCTAGAGGGGGATGATTGCCTTCACAGCCCAGGGGGAAAACTGTTTTAAAGTTTGTTCTGTATTTAATACAGCTAAACCATCTTCCCAATGCAAGTAGGACAAATAGCTAATTGACTTCCTGTGCTTTTTTATTTAGACTTATTACCATATAGTGGTGTCATCAGAAAATATGACATTTAAACGTCTATTTTATCTATATATAACGGTTATAATTGATGATGATCAGTGGTGTCAAATGTACACATATTTGTTACTTAAGTAGAAGAATAGATATTGCAGTTTAAAAACACTCCGGTCAAAGTTGAAGTATCAACTTGATCTCTACTCAAGTAAAAGTGAAAAAGTATGTGCTTCAAAAACTATTTAAAGTATAAAGGTATAAAGTAACCTTAAAAAAAAACAGCCAGATGCCACTATATGAATTGAAAGCTCAATTTTTCAACTATTTCGAAAAATGCTTTGAGATAGGGCCAAGGATGATGGAGGTCTTGTTGGGTCTCCATCTCCCGATAAGCTCTCGCCTGTGTCAGACCTTTCAGACATTTCAACGTCTTTTTCTGAATCCGACATTGTAGCATGGCATAGACAGTTCACGTTTGCAGTTTGAAGAACACCTGCTTGCTGCTGATGAAGTCCTTTAGCTAACCAATGAGTGTTTGCGTTATATGACTCATCCAATTGCACTAGTTTCCACTAGATGTGGATGGCGCCAATGATCTGCATTGGATGGCGCACATGACCTAAAATAAATATTTATAAACATTAAACTGAAGCCAAGAGTAATGAGTAAAGTTACAATGTAAGGAATAGAAAGTACAGATACTTGTGTGAAAATATGAGTAGAAGTTAGAAGTAGGAAGAAAAAAAAGTAATGGGGTAAAGTATAGATACCTAAAAAGTGTACTTAAGTACAGTAATGAAGTATTTGTACTCCGTTACTTGAAACCTCTGATGATGATACTTTTTCTTGGCTCATAGACCCAATTCAAGTGCTAATTTGGGAAGTAACTTTTCCAATGTATCTTAGCTGTAGTGTTGTCTCATCAGAATGTTCTTTTTTTACCTTACATGCCTTTCAGACTAACTTTTGTTCTAAGGTCTTCTGATCATCTCTACAAGTAGAATTTAGGTGTTTTTTTTATTTATTATTTATTTGTCTGTTTATTTATTTATGCATGTCTGCTTGACAATTAAACAATTGTTTCTGCTTTTTATGGGTCAAAAAGTCTTATTGAATTTATTTTGCTTGTATGCTTTGTGGTTTTTCCTTTAATGTGGTTGAAACTTAAATTTTACATTTATACGTTAGCTTATCGTAGATGTCAGATATTTTTTTATATAAATAAACTGTCTAGGTAAGTATATTTTACTTTATCAATAATTAATATTTGTTTTGGAGGTTGCCAGTATCTTTTGTAAAAGTACTTTTTTGTGTAATATTGGGGAGTTGGATCCTAAAACAATCGGAGATTCATAAACAGACATTTAATTTATTAGTATATTTTTTGCATGCCTTATACCCCAGGGTTTTTAGAGATTTTTATAATTTTATTTACCTATTTCATATTATATGTTTCATGTTGCACGATTGTACCATAAAAAATTCCTAGTTGTGAACTCCTTCACTAACAATGGCAATAAACCCGATTCTGAATTTAATTTGAGAATGTTAATAGATATAATGTATGAAAAAATGTTTTACATATCATTCAAATATATTAAAAAATAAACATAAGTGGGAAATATATATATATATATATATATATATATATATATATATATATATATATATATATATATTAATTTATTGAATAAATGCCCTCCGACAAGAAATATCGTCGTCTTTGCTTTTTCTACTTTTGTTGGCTTTAAAGAAAAGGATGTAAACGTTCTAATTAGCATAAGGGTGTAAGCTGGGGTTTAAATTAGTTTAAAGAAAGTTATCCTTGAGTCCTTTGCCCTCATAGACAGAAGGGTCTGATGTGGAACGCGCCCCAGTCTTTTGTTTCGGCCATCATCGGCAGTTTTCGCATTTAACCGTCGGATACCAGTCATTTAGCTAGCCAAGCTGATTAGCCTGCTACCACAGCTAATGTTTGTAGGATATTTAACGTTCCTCGAATACTACTGGATGGTACAAACATTGTAAAAAAAAAAAAAAAAGATGGCGGACGTAAAGGGACAAGGAGTTTGTTCCCCGGTTCCTCCGTTGCCTCGCCCTTCCTCTCGTAACGGCTCCGGTAGCGGCAGCATTACGCCAGACACCGGGGGCAGCTGGCAGACGCCAACCACCGTTACCTCAGGCCCCAGACTGGTGAGGATAGTAAAGTCGGACTCTGGCTACGGCTTCAACGTTCGGGGGCAAGTTAGCGAAGGCGGACAGCTGCGGAGCATTAACGGGGAGCTGTACGCTCCTCTGCAGCATGTGAGTGCTGTCCTCCCCGGGGGAGCTGCGGACAGAGCCGGTATATCAAAGGGGGACAGGATCTTGGAAGTGTAAGTTAAACATGTTCCTGCAGAAGTTCTAAAAATGACCCGATCAGATCTTAATCTCTTTATTTGTTTATTTTTTGGTGGGGGTCATCAGTGACCAAACAACCTGCCTTATCTTGAATGCAAAATTATCTGAATGAAAGGAGTGTTTGTGTTTCAGGAATCATTAGAAATTCCCCTCACACGTGCACATGATCCAAACAAAAAACCCATTTATTTGAACATATTTTATATACTATCAACTGTACTGTACACGCAGATTACATGGTTTTGGTCTTTTTTATATATATTATTGGTGCTCTTTGGATAGAAGTCATCCTCCTCAGTGGCCTGTGTGCATGCTGATGTTAGATGCTGTTGCTATGGAGAACACCACACAGCATAGAGCTCAGCATCATCAGCTCTGCCTGTTTCAGCGTGTGCAGGGTATAAGGTGTTGCAGAGATGAAGCATTGCTCTGAATTCAGCTGCAATTGGCTATGCTCTCAAAAGTGCTCAGTTGTTGTTTTTCATTTTTTTGCACACTGCTTTGTGAAAGGGTGGCCTGCAGTAACCTGGCAGTTGCTTGACCCTATTATTGCTGTGTGCATATTGTCTGATTTGCCATTAGACATCCCTGCATACCCATCTCTGCCTTCCCTTTGGGTCTGTTACTTTTGTCAACATCAGCCTTAGATTGCTTATTATTGATTATTCTCCCTGCCCTCTAGCTCACAGAGCTTCCACTCCTAGATTTAAGGTTCCCTCCCATGCAGTTCATAGAAACACCAGGCTATATCTTTGCACATTCATCCAGCTGCTGTTTGGAGGTATTTTTAGTTTTAGCCCTCATGTCAAACACAGTGTGCACCAAGCTCTGCTGCAAAACATCAGGACTTTATTTTTTCTTGAACTGTTTATTCGCACATTTATGCAGCTCTGTTCCTTTTTATGCTTTTTAAAAGTTGTCCACGTAGATTAATATTGTTTCAAGAACTTTCGCTTATTTTAAAGGTTAATGGTGTTTATTATTTATATTTTCTAATATATTAGGTGTGCTGTTAAATGAGTGTGACTGATTAAGAAATAATAATAAAGGGCACTTTTGGGGGGGATGTGTCTCTTTCTGAATCTAATGCAATTGTTCCAGTTTCTGCTTAATCATGTTCTATTTTCTTACCCATGATTTAAGACCCAACTGCTGATCTTAGTTTGACATAGGCAAACAATGATAATCTCATAATGATAATCCTATGTTTCATTGTACAAAGTCATGAATGATATAATTAAAGCAGAATTCAGGGAGATGTGACACACTCAGACTGTGTTTTACAGCTTGTTCCATCACTGTCAAAAGTGCTGACAACGTCGGTGCAAAGGCCACACTGATGCTTATTATATCATCATAGAGCTGCAGTAAAGAGAGTGATGCTCAAAATGCTCAGTCTGCATTTTTTTTCCTTGTTGGAGGATGTTCTTTCTCTCGATGCACCTGCAAAATGTTTGCATATTATTCACTTCTATTAATCCCCTGCTTACTTCTAACAACACAGCTACCTTACCTGACTTTGTTTAGTCTTAGTTTTGTGATGTGTTATGACTTGTTAATATTTTATGTGCAGCTGTCCTCAGTTTCCTCTTAGTTTATTGTTCTTTTTATTTCTCTCCACATGTTTATTATTGTTATAATATTGTTCTACAACGTCCACATAAAGCTATTCTCTTCCCTGTCATAAGTCTAGTCATAAAATACAGTTAACCAGGCAGATTGAGCTGTTTTAATTGTTCTCAAATTTGTTTCTTCAGTAGCAAAATGGGATCTTATCAGTAGCTTTTAAACGTGGAATTTTCATTCAACCTTATCATCCTGATTAGGTAAAGCATTTAAAGGCCTATCTGAAAATATTTTGTAATAAAAGTATGATGTAGCAGGTCTGCTGCTCAATCTGGTAAAGAAGAATAGTCCTTTTTACTAAATGTGAAATCTGCCACAGATCAAGTTTGCAGAAATCTTTTGTTAACTTCTGTAATAAAAGTATGATATCAGATATATTCTACAGTAGTAACTATCAGGGGAATTAGCTCACAACTTTTGCAAAGCATTATTTATTTCAACCCCTATCAGCAATATTATTTTTAAAAGTAGGGTGTATATTTAAAAAGGATTGCTTTGGAAACAGATTTCAGTAGCTTACTACAACATATTGGAGTAACTTTTGTTTTTATTTTAAGATTTTGAGTTTTGCTTATGAAAAATGATCAAAGTGCATTGCAGTAATGTAACACATGGCAGTCACATGCAAGAGGTTTTTCTTTGTCCTTCAAAACTTAGATGCAAGTTATTAAGTTTAGTAATTAAAAAAAAAATTGGGGACCAATGGAGAGCTAGTTATCTTTAATTCTTGTAGGTCTTAAACTTAACTTGCAGGAATCTACAGAAACCCTGATTAAATGGGTCAGAACACATGCAAGGTAAATATTTTGCATAACACCAATCATGTTGATAGATTATTGTTGGTCTCTGTCTGATCACATCAGATTTTGCTGGTAGTGCTTAACAGAGGTAGTTGCTTCTTTAGTCTCTGACATTTTTTTTTTTAGTCATACATTTATCTAACTTATGCAATTTTCATAAAGTTAATATAACATAAACATATTGTGCAAAAAGGAATTTAAAAGTGCTGAAAAATACATGGTGTTGCTGACAGTTAAGCGTCAGGCCTTCTTCAGAAGCTGGACTGGGTTCTGAAAATGTGAGAAAGAGCTGGAGACACTGTGGCTGCTCTCTGTGATCCTAACCATAGGTGATGTTGCTCTGGCTCTGTCATTAGAACTGCCTCTCCTCTTTCACATTACTGATAATGAGAGCACTCCCAGTGTTGCTCATGTTCACAGACGGTTAGGACTTGAGAGCTAAAATTCCAACTGCAACCAATTTCTCTTCATGAAGACAATAGTTTTATATCAATTTTATTTACTGCGTTGGCATCTATTGTGTTATCATTTGTTTAATTGTTTTGTTGTGGTTTGGTGTCACTTGAGATGTGAGGTTCAAGTAGTTAAAAGCGGAAAAGCTTCTGCATGTCTGTGGTTGCATGCATTAAAGATTATTTGCCGTAGACGCTTCACAAAAGCACCAGTGTCCTGATAAGTTTGTGTTTCTTTTCTCCCTACAGCAATGGGGTTAACGTAGAGGGAGCAACACACAAGCAGGTGGTGGATCTGATCCGGGCTGGCGAGAAGGAGCTGGTGCTGACCGTTCTGTCCGTCCCGCCGCAGGAAGCCGACTCCTTAGATCCCGGCGACGACATGTCGGCTTTGTCCTGTTACGACTACTCCGATAAGCAGGCCGTCCCGATCTCCATTCCCAGCTACAAACACACTGAGCTCAGTGGTGAAAAGTTTGTGGTGGGTGCAATACTGTGCAGTGTATCTTTGTAAATCTAAACACACAGCCAGATATTTAATGGAATAATTTATATTAAAACATATTCATAGTTTAAAATGCCTCAGTGCAGTGAGCAGCTTTTTATTTCTAAAACAACCATGTTGGAAGACACATTATTTAGTTGTAACAGGGAGGTTCAGCAGGTCCACTTATTAGCATTCAGGAAATTGCATTATTAGACTGAAAGTATATTGATAAACCATCAAATTTGACAAGAAATGTCAGAAAAAGGTATGAGCTATACAAATTGCTTACACTTTGATATCGAGTATAGCCGGTTTCTAGAAAGTCAGAAAGCACAGCCAGGTTCAGATTAAGAGGGTTTCCATACAGGTAACTCAAAGGAATGGAATTAACATCTGTTTAAAGAAAACAGCTAATTGGATGCTTTAAGAATAAAGAGTGGACTAAATGTAATTTGGTCTGATGAGTTTAGATGTACCCTGTTTCAGAGTGATGAGTGTGTAAAGGTAAAAAGACAGCATTGGGGAGGGCATGCATCACTGCATATAAACACAATGTTTTGAACTGTGGTGGCTGCAGCTGGCCAGGCTTTACTTCAATAACATTATGAACTTAATGTTTTCCCTAATGGTGTGGGTATATTCCAAGATGAAAACGGCAGGATTCATCAGGTTCAGATCATTCAGGGAGAATGAAAACTGATGTTCAGGTATAGACTGGACAGCACAGTCCAGATCTTAACCTTGCTTATAATCTTTGGGATCTATCAGAAGAATAATGTGCACAGCTTGCAAGATCCTACAAAAACATTAATGCAAGCTTTGGAGGAGAGCACTCAATATATATTTTCCCATTCTGAATAATTGACATATCCTGTCTTTTCAGGTATATAATGTATACATGGCGGGAAGGCAGCTGTGCTCTAAGCGTTACCGGGAGTTTGTGATTTTACACCAAAACCTTAAGAGGGAATTTGCCAATTTTACTTTTCCCAAGCTTCCTGGGAAGTGGCCGTTTTCACTTTCCGAGCAGCAGCTAGATGCACGCCGCCGAGGCTTGGAGGAATACCTGGAAAAAGGTGAAGGGGATGTCAATATTTGCCAATTTTTTTGCATACAAAGTTTTTAATGTACCCTAATAGGACGTAATACCATTTATTTATTTATTTTATCCTGTGGTTTTAAATGTTCGTTTATGTCGGTTAGATCCTATTTTTATGATGGCTACATGTTTGGTTTCGAATCTTTCAGCTTCATAAACCCTCCAGGCACATGTAATTTTGTGCTAAAATGAATCTGAGTGTGAAAAAAGCTTAGAAGAGAGAGAGGATGCCTGGAAGTGTGCTGTTATTTTATACTTAGACACAAAACTTAACTCCAGAAATGTTTTTGTTTGTCTGATCTGCAGTCTGCTCAGTACGGGTAATTGGAGAAAGCGACATCATGCAGGAGTTCTTGTCTGAATCAGATGAGGTAAAACGGAAAAAAAGAAAGCTGAAAGAAATGTTCTCCTCCACTTAAATGTGTCATTTTTCGTCTCTCTTCCTTCAACCTAGAACTATAATGGGGTTTCAGATGTGGAGTTGAGAATAGCTATGCCAGATAAGACAACGCTCACTGTTAGAGTTCGTAAAAACTCCACAACAGACCAAGTTTATCAGGTAAAAACCCATCGGTTTTTTTTACAGCCATGTTTTCTTGTTCCTTGTCACTTTCTACCTCCATCTACTCTCTTTCCCAGGCTGTGGTAATGAAGCTTGGTATGGATAGTATTACAGCCAGCTACTTCGCTCTGTTTGAGGTCATCAACCACACCTTTGGTGAGTAAAAACAGAACCAAAATGTAGTTGTGCCTCTCCTTTGTGTTTTAACATTTCATTAAATAGTCCATGACAGCTTTTCCACTTCTGCTTTTTGCTAGGAGAAAAATATCCTTTTTAAAAAGCAAGTCACTGACTGGTTTCACTTCCATGAGTGTAAAAGGAGTCAGATTTATCGGTGGGGGATTGAATGATGCCCGTCTAAACTCTGGTATCTGTTACTTTTAGTGTGCAGATCACCATAATTCCCAGCTTTTTTCTTATTCGGGCACATGGTATGCCTTTTTGTTTTTTGTCATTCTGTGATTCATGACAGCATTAGATGTAAAAAAAAAAAAATAAAAAATCTGGTTACATCTCATTTACAGTATTTACTGGACTAAAGAGTGCACATATCTATAAGGTGTGCCCACTAAATTTTTTGGAAAAACTGGAAACTTACATCTGCGATGGACTGGGGACCTGCACAGGATGTGCCATGCCTCTCGCCCGTAGACTGCTGGAGATAGGCAGTAGCACCCCTCGCGACCACGTGATTAGCTTGACGGAAGATGGATGGATTGATGGAAACTTACATGTATAAGAGGCTAAAAGCCAATCTACTGAATTGTCCCCCACCAAACCTCTAGGAGGAGCTCTACATATCACCCCAAGAGTAGGGACAAAGAAAATGCTAGCTCCCCTTAGCTTGTTGGCTTGCAGTAGTAAAAGGGGATCTTTATTTCAGCCCAGTCTCTTCATCGGTTCAGTTTAATGCTGCAAATAAATGGCAAAATGTTTTAATTCGGGATATTTGTTCTCTAACGTGTCTGCTGCTAGCAAGTTCTTGTGCTACATGAAAACTAGCACCTTATTCTTTCATTTCCATCTTAGACTTCCCCTAGCGGCTTTTTTTTGAAAAATCTACAAGAAAGCCACACCTTCTTATAAACATGTTTCAAAGTGTGGGGGGAAAAAAATTAGCAGCTTATAGTCCGAAAATACTGGAATGATCAGTCTGTTCTTTCTTTCCTTCCCTTCTGTGTTTATTCCTAACAGTGGATTTTGCATCATACATTTTAATGACTGACTACACCAGAAATATCTACTGTGATTTTATAGTAATCCTTATAGTCTTTAGTATTTATTCTTCAGTTGATCATGTTGCTTTGATACTAACATTGAGATAATCTTACTTTAGATATTTTCATCATCTTTAAAAAACAAAAAGAAAACCAAAAAAGCAGTTAAAATATTCAAACCTACAATTCTTGTTAGGTTTAAAAGGTGCATTGTTAGAAGATAAGATGATGCAACATGGTAGTCAACACACTCTACTTTTGCATATGTCCTCATTTGATTTTCTGTGTTCCTACAATAAAAAAAAGGTTTGCTTACATTATAGTAACAACTTTTTTTCCCCCTCTTTCTATCATCTTTATTTTTGCAGTGCGTAAACTGGCCCCCAATGAGTTCCCTCATAAACTTTATATACAGAACTATACCTCAGCCATCCCAGGAACCTGCCTCACTCTGCGAAAGTGGCTCTTCACCACAGAAGAGGAGATCTTGCTCAATGAAAACCAGCTTGCTGTTAACTACTTCTTTCATCAGGTTTGTGAATATTTGCCCGATCTGTATTTATGCTGTTTTCTTTGTTGAATGTCGTCCTCCCTGACTCTCTGCAGGCAGCTGATGATGTGAAGAAAGGCTTCATCAAAGTTCAGCAGAAGTCTTATCAGCTCCAAAAGCTGGCAGAGCAGATGAAGATGTCCATGGTTAGTTTCACAATTTCAAATCATAATTACTTAGCATTATTCAGTTTACATTTTTCTACAGTGTTTATAAATGGAAACTAGTTTATAAACTAGAACGTAAGCTACGGTCAGACCGCACGCTGCAGGAGCAGCAGAAGCAGCTGGTTTACATGCAAAGTCTTGACCACTCTGAGCAGCTGAAGCAGCGCCTCATGAGCTTCTGAGGCCCGGGATGCGCTGCACAAGCAGCAGCTGCAGGAGTTGAAAAGTTTTGTTGCTCGACGTACCACATCAACCAATCAGGATGCTGATCTGGGAGCTGGCAGGGAGACAGACACAGCACCTCTGATGCAGATCGCTATGATCACGCCACTGAAACAGTATATTAACTCCTCAATTAGCTTAAAATATCGAAACCTGCCGACAAAATATGTTAGCTTTTATTATTTTGGTGCCTGCAGTTTGGATTAAACTAAAATTTCCTAGCAGAAAACCTCCAAGAGGCGACCAGGCCAGAGGCTGCTGTAGAAGGGGATTTCCAGTGACAGAGCACCACCGGTGTACAGGGGTTTAATGCTCGTCCGACAGCGAAATAATATTTGAAGGCAGGATCATAATCTGGATGAACTGACAGCACAGATTAAGTTATCAGGTCCAACATTTTCACTTAAAAGCATATTCTGACCTTACTGTGTACACGCATTGAAAATGAAGCAGCAGAAGCTTTTTTGCTGCTTCCAATGCTTGTGGTCTGAACGTAGCAGGAGACTCTCCCTCATCACCTTTCCACCGTTTTAAAAAATTTTCATCAGTTCTAAAATAACAAGTCTCCACAACATTACGTTAAGACTTCACGAGGATTAAGAATTCCTGCCACCTCAATGAATACTGTCAGGAACACAGTCAGTAAGAATGGATTGTTATATTAATTAACCATTATTTTAAAGGAATACTGGGATGTTTGGCACGTTTAAATTTGGACGGAAACAAGTGCTATAATAATATAAATAAATAATTTATAAAAATAATTATTTAAATGTGTCTTTAAATTTCAAAGAATTAAATTATTTCATGATTTAGCACACCACAAATTATTTTAAACCATCACATATCCATCAAAGTCAAGGTGATGGAACTAGGGACACTTCCATAGAAACCCTGTCATCTGATTGGCAGCGCCTCACTAAGCAAGATAAGACAACATTTTTCTTCTTTTCTTTATTCTAAAGTCAACATTTTTGTTTCGAAAAGTTGAGCAACTCCAGCTTCTACATACATTGTTTGGTCCTCATAAGAAAACTGGACTCGGTGTTAGTCATTTGGCGGGGCTAAAACGTTCCTCTCACCACCAAACATTTCACAAACATTTTTTGTGAAATAATTTCTGCCTTTTTCAGCAATTATAGAGAAGAAGCTAATCAGACGTCAGGGTTTCTATAGAAACCGCCCTATCCCACCTCCTTCGCGTTGACGGATGTGTAACCGTTTAAATTAATTCATGGTGTGGCTCATTACAGGACACCTTTTCCTTCCACTAAACTTTCTATCAGTACTCTGCTTTTTTTATCCACCACCAGACTTCCTTCCCAGGTTTTTTTTGTATGAATGATGCTTTTTTAATTATCTTATGTAATACTACAAAAGTGAGAAATTTGGGGTTTTCATTGGCCTTAGCCACAACCATTGAAATGAAGAAATAATTATCTCTCTATGTAATTAAATTAAGTGAGCACCAGATTTTGAAATGTATGACTAAAAAAGGATAACTTATTTTGATGATGTTTTAATGTTAAAAATACATGTGTAAAAAATAAAACCAAAAAGGTCAATTTTCTGATGCACAATGGGACACAAAAGGAGTGACGAATGCCTGAATAAAATTAGATACAAAAGTAGATATATCTTATACTTTTCTTATACTTTTAAAGTATAAGATGATGGCAGAGACAAAACTTGATGTAAAGGCATGAAAATAACATCTAAATAAGTATTTTAGATATGACGGGGTATTGGGGTCAGGCTAGAGATTTTTTTTTTTTTATTTCAAGAACAAAGTAATATTAGGGGGAAAAAAATGCAACATTACGAGAATAATTTTATGACTTTATTCCCATAATATTATGTTTTTTTTCCCCTAAGTAAATATAAAAAGAAATCTCTAGCCTGGCCCTAATATTCCATCGTATTTAGTAAACTGTTAGATGATAATAAAGAAATACACTCACCGGCCGCTTTATTAGGTACCTCATGCTAGTAACGGGTTGGACCCCCTTTTGCCTTCAGAACTGCCTCAATTCTTTGTGGCATAGATTCAACAAGGTGCTGGAAGCATTCCTCAGGGAGTTTGGTCCATATTGACATGATGGCATCACACAGTTGCCGCAGATTTGTCGGCTGCACATCCATGATGCGAATCTCCCGTTCCACCACATCCCAAAGATGCTCTATTGGATTGAAATCTGGTGACTGTGGAGGCCATTTGAGTACAGTGAACTCATTGTCATGTTCAAGAAACCAGTCTGAGATGATTCCAGCTTTATGACATGGCGCATTATCCTGCTGAAAGTAGCCATCAGAAGTTGGGTACATTGTGGTCATAAAGGGATGGACATGGTCAGCAACAATACTCAGGTAGGCTGTGGCGTTGCAACGATGCTCAATTGGTACCAAGGGGCCCAAAGAGTGCCAAGAAAATATTCCCCACACCATGACACCACCACCACCAGCCTGAACCGTTGATACAAGGCAGGATGGATCCATGCTTTCATGTTGTAGACGCCAAATTCTGACCCTACCATCCGAATGTCGCAGCAGAAATCGAGACTCATCAGACCAGGCAACGTTTTTCCAATCTTCTATTGTCCAATTTCGATGAGCTTGTGCAACTTGTAGCCTCAGTTTCCTGTTCTTAGCTGAAAGGAGTGGCACCCGGTGTGGTCTTCTGCTGCTGTAGCCCATCTGCCTCAAAGTTTGACGTACTGTGCGTTCAGAGATGCTCTTCTGCCCACCTTGGTTGTAACGGTTGGTTATTTGAGTCACTGTTGCCCTTCTATCAGCTCGAACCAGTCTGGCCATTCTCCTCTGACCTCTGGCATCAACAAGGCATTTCCGCCCACAGAACTGCCGCTCACTGGATGTTTTTTCTTTTTCTGACCATTCTCTGTAAACCCTAGAGATGGTTGTGCGTGAAAATCCCAGTAGATCAGCAGTTTCTGAAATACTCAGACCAGCCCTTCTGGCACCAACAATCATGCCACGTTCAAAGTCACTCAAATCACCTTTCTTCCCCATACTGATGCTCGGTTTGAACTGCAGGAGATTGTCTTGACCATGTCTACATGCCTAAATGCACTGAGTTGCCGCCATGTGATTGGCTGCTTAGAAATTAAGTGTTAAGAGCAGTTGGACGCAGTTTCAGTGCATGGTCGTAATATGCCACACCGTTTCTTTTGGGAATACTGTGGTTATGTGTATGAAAGACAGCTGTGAGGTCTAATCATTAAAACTAGGAATGCACGATATTGGGATTTTGGCCGATATCCGATATGCCGATATTTTAAAACTCATGTAACCGATAACCGATATCGATACTGATGTTAAAGCTGGACAATAATAAGTAATCATTGAAAATAGCAGTTTTGTTATCCATTTCTGACACTTTGAAAAATAATATACTCAAACATATTTTCATATGCTGATATCAAATAGATTTTTAAAAACGTGGTATCGATCTATTTTACTTTCAAAACCTCGTGAAATTTCATCGTTCTGTTACAAACTCTCTTGATATTTTGCAAATTCTTGTGAGATTTTGTTAGTAAAATAGATCGATACCACGTCAATGTATCAACATATAAAAATATGGCAAATTTTCGTGAATTTTCGAGGGATTTTGTAGCATAACGATGACATATAACAATATTTCATTAGTAAAAGAGATTGATATGGTGTTTTTAAATGGCAATATATCAGCATATGAAGATATTGTGATATTTTAATGTATCAATATTTTTTCCCTCGTCTTTAGAAGTTTTTAAGTCTGTAAAAAAGAAGTTTTTGAGGAAGAAGAAGAAGTACTGGTAGTATTTTTTTTTTAGACTTTAGAAACTCAGAAGCTGATCAAATATCGGGTTAAATATCGGTGGGGTGGCCGATGTCCAATATTCAGTTTTAAGGCCGATACAGGCCGATACCGATAGGGGGCCGATTATATCGTGCATCCCTAATTAAAACTGTTTAAAAGTGCTGCTCCCATGCTGTAAATGACATTTAAGCAAGACTTAAACCTTTCAAAAATGCAATGTTCATGTAACAAGGACTGAAGGAGCTTATATTTAACTATTTTATTACTTTTTATTCTTACTTTTTCTACTCTCCGTTCTTACTTGACCTGTATGTTGTCTTTAACTATCCCTGTATTTTCAGAAACAGTTGGTATGAATACCAGCACAGCATACCTATATATTTTGTTCTGCCTCTTTTACTCTAGAGACATGTGCTCTGTCATAGCCTCACTCACATTTCTATAAGTAAGAGCTCAGCTGGAAATATCCTGCAATGAAAGAGACGGGAGAAGAAAAAAACATCTGCGCTCTCTGCAGAACATCTCCAATGTTAGGTTAAAAAGTCTCTTTAAATGGAAAATAAATCATTGGAAATCAACTAGCAAAAATGAATGCAGTAGTTTAGGGAAATTAAAATGTTGATAAGATGTTTGTTTTTTTTTCTGTGGCCCAATGCTTACAGAGATTTAGCAGGTTTGAGTCTGATCTGCAGGGCTAAGAAAGAGCAGCCTACTTGAAATTGGAAGAGCATGATTCGCTTTAGCTGTTTTCACACAAAAAATGGCATCTCCCCGTTTTTTTTTTTTGTGCTGAGGTATGCTATCTCTGATTTGTGCTTGAGAATGATGTTGTGAAACAAGAAAATGTTTTACTTCTCAGTTTCGCTTCATTGTTCTCATGATTGCCTCTCTTGGTCACGCACTGCACAGATTAAACTGCAGAAAACTTCTGCTGCAAATCTGTTGGCCTTCAGTTGTCCTGCTTTATGACCAGGAACGTTTTGTGGGGATGTGGGGAGTGGGTTTTAAATACTATAGCAATTTTTAGTTATCTACATAGGAAAAGGCTGGTTCTCATCCCCTGAATTTGTTTAAGCAGTTGTTGTTTCTATCATGTCTGCTGTGCAATTCCTTTCAGTACCTGGGCTTGTTGCGGAGCTGTGAGGGCTACAATGAGATCGTATTCCCGCATTGTTCCTGTGACTCTCGACGTAAAGGCCATGTGATCACAGCAATCAGTATACAGAACTTTAAGCTGCATGCCTGTACAGAAGAAGGTACACTTGAGGTAAATACAGCGGCCTGCCAATGCATTTTACTTTTTGACATTGCATTTGCTTCCTGCGTGTCAGATGGAGCAAATTAAAGACTCCTTGTCATTCCAGAACCAAGTGATTGTATTTGAGTGGGAAGAGATGCAAAGATGGGACACAGATGAAGAGGGCATGGCTTTCTGCTTTGAATATACACGGGGAGAGAAGAAGCCACGCTGGGTGAAGATTTTTACTCCCTATGTAAGTTTAAAAATGTTTTTTTTCTGATGTTTTTAAGATGTTCTTTTTGCCTTTTGCACTTTTTTTAAGTAACCTGACACACCAGGCAATGAGAGCTGTTAAAAACTAAAATTAAAACTCACCATTAGAAGGCTACAATAAGTCTGCAGAGATCCACAGCTAAGGAGAGAAAATTGGTTCGTTTTGCAGTCTACTAATTTTATCTCTGTGGTTTAGTGGTAAGAATGGTACATTTTTTTATGAAAATTCTTTAGAAGTCCTGTTTGTTGGCCTAAGGCATTTTATAAGCCAGAGCAGTCATGTGGAAAAAGATCCTTTGGCTACATTACCTATTTAACCCTAAGTTTGACAGAAAGCTAGTGATACCTTTAACCCTGGACACACTATCTTTCTGTGAAACACGGTGGTGACAGTATCATGCACCATGGGTGGAGGAAAACTAACAGAGAATTAACCTAAATCAACAATTTCCACCATAAAGCATGGTGATGGCCGCATTATTCTGTAGGGATGCTTTTCTTCATTAGAGGTTAGAGTTTATGGGAAGATAGATGGAGTTAAATACAGAAACATCTTTGATGTAAACCGCAAAAAGAACTGCAAAAAAACGAGGATGGAGGCTTATCTTCCTCATCTGTCACTGGTCTCAAACTCTGTACTTTATAATTGACTTGGCTTTCTCGGTATGCAAAACTAATTGCAACCAAAGGGGTTTACAATTTTTTTTCTACATAAATTCCACAATCCTCTTCCTACTCTGCAATAATGAACTGTTATGTGTTGATCAATCATATAATATCCCAATAGGATAACAGATTATCAGGGATTAAAGTATTCTGGCCCCAGGCCGGATTTCCGGCTCATAGCGATTGCCCGTGGGTAAAAAAAAAAAAAATCTCTCTATAAATTTATAAAAAGATAATCGAAATCCCTCTTGCGTTTGTCAGCCAATGGTAGCAAAGTAGCGCTCTGAAACTAACAATATTAGCCAAGCAGAAGACGAAGGTGGTGAGTCTTAGGAAAGCGCGTACCTCCTCCTCCCGTTTCTTGCCCAAGTCACCAGATAGATTGTGGTACAGTGCTGAAGCTCTACACGTTAAACAGAGAGACGTGTAAAAAGTCAATAAATTAATTAAACTTCGTGTTTGGAGAGAAGGACGACAGAACGGAATTTCATGGAGTGGGCACAATGCAGTTCATGAACTCCAGGGAAGATGTCATCACCATTGATAAAGGTCTTAAACATGAATGGCCCTGGGCACGGCCGGAGGAGACAGGACGAGATATAAATATATATATATATAATGTATATGATCAGGATTTATTTTTTTTGCTTTAATCCCTGTATTATGTTTTCAAAGCGGTCTGTAATATTAAGGACCTATTCAGAGTGTTATTAATGTGTTTCTCCTTGTCTTTTCCCCTACTTGGATGATATTTAGTTTAACTACATGCATGAGTGCTTCGAAAGAGTCTTCTGTGAGCTGAGGTGGAGGAAAGAGGTATCAACAATCCACTTATAACCTTCTCGGTGGACACTATGTTCTAGTGTCATTCATTATTAGCTTGGATGTGTGTTTTCAGGTGGAAGAGGAGGCCACAGACAAGGACAACAAGAACTGCAGTAAAGATGGCATGTGTGGAAAGGTAAACTTCAGAATGAGCAAAAGCCTTTTCACATTTCACAAACCGGCAGGACTTTGTCCTGATGGCTGTTTGTGTTGCAGAACATTTTCCAGCTGCTGAGGCACAGAAGAGATGGAGGAACGTAGAGGGTGGCGTTTCACCGTCTCAGCTGAGTGTTTACCCTGACCCAGTCTCGCTCATCCATGAACTTACATGGTCATCATTTACACTCCATTAACTACTATACAAGAAGCTGCTCCCCACATGTTAACCGACAACCATTTGCTGAAAAACAATGAAAACAGAAGCATTTAGAAGAACTACATGACTCACGAGCCAGAACTTATGAATCCAGCACTTCATAAACATGTGTTAAACTAAAGCCTCTATGGACTGAAGGGGATGGATTCATCCAAGCCTTTCCTTCTTGGGTTGGACTCAGCATGGATTATGAAATGCTACCAGGGATCATTTAAGCTTTTTTTCCCCCCTTTCTTTTTTTCAACTGAAAATATAAAAATTTCAAGTGAATTACTGGTGCACAAACAATGAAACTGAAACCAATCAGAGAGAGGAATGGAGGAAATGACCGATCAGCAATACTTATCCATATCCTGCAGATAGGAGTCAAAGCAAAACAAGATCCTGTGTTGCAACATTTGGTCAAATCAGGTTACATGTTTAAATTTGCTTTAGAAATAATCATTAACACAAACAAGTATGACAAACTACTTGTTATTTGGAATTTTTATGTGGATGAACATGAAGAAGAAACTTGGATTTACACTAATATTGCACTTTATCAAACTTTATGAACAGCTATAAGATGTGCAGATTGAAACAGGGAAATGATACAAGTGCTCAATACTGGAATAAGGTTATACTACATATAATTTTTTTATTGGAGTTGAATTATAGATTGCAGTCTCAACTAATGTTAAAGCCATGGCTTTAACCTTTGTTTACAGGTAACTCTCAGTAAATTACTATATCTTAAAATAATTATTTTATTATGGTAATTCCATTTAAAAAAATTTACTTATAATTTCGATGAATTAAATGCAGAAAGAGAGATATGTTTGATGTGTGTTTCAGTTAATTTTGACGATTTTGGCAAGAAGATCCAAAATTCAGTTTCTCTGAAAAGTAAGATATATTTTTTGTTTGTTTGTTTTTAATTTCTGAAATCTTTAAAGGGACAGTGTGTAAGATGTATCACCATCTAGTGGTGCATTAAATGAATTATAAATGACATTGGTGCCTCCCCTTTAAGTTTGCGACACCTACTAAGGAAGCTGTGGAGTGACATGTTCTAATAGCAGCTAATAACTGTTGCATCAGAGCTCATCCAATGTAGGCTAAAAAAATTAGTTGTCTCTGCTATAAATACAAAATAAAATTAACTGCTTTATTGAATGACCTTACCTGTCCAGCAGAAACCCTGCAATCTGAGTGTCCATTTCGTCCTCTCCGTCATAAATTATCCCCACCTGGTGAAACCTGCTCCAATGTGATTTTTTTGTCCTCGTTATTACGTCTTTTTCCTTTTTTTGATTTGTTTCTTTTGCCTCTCAATCAACATAAAGTACAGATGTTCTTCCATTGCAATAGAAAGAGGACGATAGAACAATCTAGAGTTGTTTTTGCATGTTTTTAACACTTCGGACACCACCAACCTATTTCCAGATAGTAAAACAATGCCGCCAAGTTTAGCCTCTCTCTGCTTCTCTAATCAAAAATACTGACATGACATGGTATCCCCGAAAGGGTGCACCACCCCTTATATATTTATAAACAACTAGTTCTAAGCAATGAGAATGTGCTCTTCTTTTATATCATGTAATTAGACTTTTACAGAATTTGTATTTATTAAACCAATTCTAGATTTTTGCTAATTAAAAGTCAGATTTGTTACACACTGTCCCTTTAACCTTGGCCCAAAGAATTATAGCTAAAGAAGCTGGTTTGTTCTGTGTTGTAGACAGATGTTCGTTTTTAGACACTCCAGCTGCTGCCTCTTCCATATCAAATCCCCTCCCAAAACTTGAATAGGCTTTAGTTTTCCCTATTGCTTGTGCGCTTTTTGTTTCCTTCTGCTCAACTTGCTTGTATAACTCTGACAACTCCAGCTTCCTCAGAAAACATCTCGTAACCCACAGCATAACCGTGTTTCAAATCTTTTCTTTTTGTCTAATGAATAGACATTTTTTTTTCTGAGAAACAGAATTTTATATTTTTAGTAGTGGTAACCCATAATCATCAAAATTAACTTTAATAAATGCTTGAAATATTTAATTTCTGTGTGATGATTGTTTACGGATTCAGATTAGTTACTGACAGAACTTTGTCTGCCAATTAAACTAATTTGTTTTGATGCACCTGTACCTGCAGTATCATGGGAGCTCTACATGCAAAAGGGAAATATTGTATGAAATGATGTTCAGGGTGAATTACTCAGAATAAACAGCAGGGGTCATTCTGTCCTTTCTGCTCCCTTGTTCACAGTGATTACTTCTTCTCTTGGAGCTCCCACAGGATTTATATTAGGCTTGTAAGTCAAGCGGCCTTTCCATGCCGCATTGTTTGTCTGTGGCTGGTGCTTTGCTGTACTGGTCAACCATCCATTCACTGCAGAAGTCAGGCTTAGTTAACGACATTTCTTATCAGAAGGTAATGTTTTCTTCCTAATATAATGAGATAAATGGGCTCTGTCAGTTAACGCTTCATAGCGTTAACTGACTGATATTAACTTTCCTTTGATAAAGGAAATTATATGAAGTTTAAAGTCATGTAAAAGCTGATAATGTGATCCAAATACTTTATTTCTTTTTTTTATTGAAATGTAACAATATTCTTTGCCATGTTAGAATCTGATGTCATTCAATAATTATAAGGTTTTGTTTACCCAATCTAATATTGTTTGGTTTATACTGTGTTTTTGAAATATATATTTTCAGTCAGTTGTTGTTTTTTTTTGCGAGAAAGTCAATTATTTATTTTTATTGAGCTTCTAAGGTGTCAGACTGTATTATTTTAAAGCGGTGCTGTCTGAAAGGTTTCCTTGAACATTGGCTTCTTTCCATACATTTTCATTCTAATATCGAACAATGCATAAATAATGATCTTTGTTAGTTGGTTAAGCATTTTAATTTCCACCTTAGAATTATTCAGGTTTATATAGGCTCCAGGTTTTAAGGGATCAAAAAGTGTCTCCATTTTTTATTCCCCTTTTCATAGAAGAAATCAATGTAAAATACCAAAGATAACAACAGATGTACATGTGCAAAGCAGTCTTAAATGCTATTGAATTTAGATTTAAAAAATTACAAAAAAAATTACTATTTACTATATTGTTATTGTTTTTAAAAACGAAATATCAACTTTTTTCAAAAATATGTCCAATCAGAACCTTTCCTGCTGAGACTAAGTAGTTTACCTTTGCCTTAGAAATACATCCACCAATTCAATCCCTGAGATAAACATTTCAGTTTTGGATGCACTGAATTTAAACACATCATATGTAAGTGTTACCAGGCTACCATCAGTGCGGAAATTATTATCGAGTAAATAAGACAAAATGAGCTGTTCTCAGTATCACACAGTAAAGAATTAAGTCTTGAGAACTTTAGGAAGTGAGAAGCTTTTTTTTTTTTTTTTTTCTATGACCTGTTCAGACATTTATGCATTTTACAGGATGTGATAGAGAGTAAGTCTTCAAGCAGATAACAGAAAGGCTGAGTACAGAATACTGAATTGCTGATAGACTATTGAAAAGAGTACACAGATTAACTGCTGCTTTAGAAACCGATCTATGCTAATTGCAAATATCAGATTCTAAGAACAATAGAAAATGTCAGCAATACAATATTCATTTTGTACTTATTTTAGAAATATTAATCAAAACCTGTTTTACATTAATTATTCTTAGAGACCTCATCTATTTCTAATGTAGATATTTTATTTTCCACTCATGGCAGTAATGCTAAAGAAACATTTTGAATACTTTTCTATTCAAGTATTATAGTTCTATGGTAGGTATGTCCAAAATTTCAGGGCAATTATTTACAAAAGCTGGTGATCTTTGCTATAAAAAATGCAAGATGAAGATGCTGTGGTACTGATGTTATTTATTTTAGGTCTTAAGCTGCTTCTTTAGTCATTTTAGTTGTTTTTCTTTTTTCATAATAATTGGGTGCAAAGGCTGGGCTGAAAGTAATGAAAACGTAGCGAATGTTCAAAGAAAACTCCTGTTCAAGTTGACTTTAAAGAATTACAAGAAAGTGTGGCGAATCCGAGGCGATCATTACTGGATCACATTTTTGTTTGGCAACCAAAAAAAGATGCACCAAACCCTTAAATCTGGACCCTTGGATCAGTCAGTTTAGCCTTTACCTGTTTGGTCAATCATCAGGATGTCAAATCAAGAAAAATATAAACTTTCTTTTTTTATATGTGTCGAATGCATTATATGTTTCATCAGTTATACCATTTGCAATATATAAACTCATTCGGTAGCATTTAAATTCATGCATTTTGTTCTAACAGATATAGGTATTATCTTGTTTTCCCTTTATTTTATTATGGTTAGAGAACTGCTACCTCTATAAAATAAGATCCAGTACGTATTACTTTCCCCTTTATGTGTTTTAGCCTTTACAATAAAACTAAAATTCAAACCTGGGGGGGGTTATTGGTGCTTCCCTGCCACTCTACATTTTTATTTAATTTAATAAAATTATCATTTTAGTAATACAGATCTTGCTGATTATCAACAACCTCTGTTCATTTTTTTTAAAGCTTCCTCTCCGTGAGTCATTTAAAAAATATTACTAAAAGTCATTCATTAGGTTAACTATTTTTTTTCTCTGACCACACTGCGAAAACGATCTAGAATTAAGTCCACATTTCTTAAATTAAGTGTATTTAATTTTAATCTGAGTAGGTATGAGATGATCTGCCAATAGAATTGCTATTTTTACTCCTAAAATAAGATCATTAGATTATATGCACTTGAAATAAAAACGCAATAGTTTTTTTTCTTATTTTAAATGTAAATTGTCTTGTTCCATTGGCACATTTTCTCACCACTTCAATTGAAAAGAAAAATGCACTTATTTTAAGAAAAAATTACTTTCAAGTTTTTGCATTGCAAACCCATCTCAAGCTGCTAATTAGGACATAGTGTTTCTACAACAGTTTGTAAAAGAAGCATTTAAAAGCACTACTCAGTGGCTTTTTCTAAGAGCTTGTTTAGTTTAGCATTGGTGCTGTTCACGAAACCCATCTTAGATGATTAATGGACTTATGCAGACCTCTGTGGGTTCGTACAGGGGCTTTAATTTAGAGTGCGGATCCTCCAATTGAAAAATTGAATGTGCAATCCTCGAGGCCAAAAACATCACGTTGGCTTCTTGTCTGTTTACTGAACCAAGTCTGACATAGTCGATTGTCTGACACCTTCCAGTGTGCTCTCTCTAATCTCTCTCTTTGTTCAGAAAACAACCCAATGTTATGTACTTGATTTATTTTAATGCCGCAGTGTTAAATTGAGGCCATAAGGTATGGAGATTAAAAGCCTGCAAGTTTTTTGACATGTTAAAATGAAAGTTTGAAAAAAAATGCAGCAGTTACTGTAATACATTGTAAGATATTCTTTTAGATAAAAGGTTTATTGATCCAAATATAAATCTGAGTATTTTTTGTAAGCGTGAGAGATAACAGCAGGTTGAAACCATGAGTGAAATACAGCCAAAATCCCGAAGTTATGCATAGTTAATTCCTGGCATGCAGTGTGTTGATTTTAACTGGATTCTCTGCTCTTCTTTGTGCTCACATCTGTTTTCTCTCTTCCTTTCATCATGTTGCCTCTCCTTAATTTCACCCGATCCTTTCGACTTTTAATGAGATCTGGGAGACAATTACCCAACAGGCAGAGGAGTGGTTATACCTCATCGATCAGCATCAAGTGTCTGCACCCGGTAATTAATAGCTATTGACTGGTGGTGTTTTGGGGATATCATTCCTAAAGACCTGAAGTTTGATCAGCAAACGTATCGGTCCTTGGGTCCTGTACTTGGAGGCGTCATGTTACTGAGTTCACTACTTACCTGGATTTCAGCCATTTAACAGCTTGGTTTTGTGAGAAAAAACTTTTCATTTAAGCATTTAAAAGTCCTCACTGCTTTTAGAAAACCCTTTTAAATCCTGCACGTTTCCTATGGTAGCAAACTGACATTTGAATGTCTGCTACTCTAAAAGGTGCAGACTTGCAAGTGACTGAACTAAAAAGCTGCTGCATTTTTCACCATAGTTACTCATTTTATTCCACTTTTAATGCTACACTTCAGAGTAAACAACACGGCTTTAGTAAGACCTGGGCTTTTATATTCCTGAAAACATTTGAATTTCATTTATCTTTTGTCATTTTTAGAGGCAAATGTTTCCATGACACTTGACTTCATAAATGGGTACAAATTATGCTCAGTTATATAGAATGCAATTTACCTCAAATTATTTGTCATTTTAATACTGGCCAATCACAATCTCAGACAAGGTTTACTGAAGCTCAACCCATTTTAATTAAATCAATAATACAATATAGTCCAAATCTATTGATTTAGAGATATGCGTTTTTTTTTTAATCTATTTAAGAAAACTGGAAGATTTTATAAGGTTTTTGACCATTCACCATTTTTCATATTAAACAAGCATGTATTGATTGTGGAAAGGTGCAACTCTCTTTCAAAATAGAATAGAATAGAAAATCACTTTATTGTCCCAAAAGAGGGAAATTGTGGTGTTGCAGCAGCAAAAAGATTATAGCAAAAGTGGTCACACAAATGTGGATCTTAGAAAGGTTGTATAAAAATAACAGAATAAGTGAAAGACTAAGTTAACATAAATAAACCTTGAGCATAACCCTGTTTAGAGTAATTGGATGTCCATTGCAAGTAACTGGGAGTTAAGTAGACATGAAAGAAAATAGGCAAAAACAAAAGCCGTGTGCACTGTATTACCTTAAAATGATTTTTTGTAGGAATGAATGAACATGTACTGCAGTTAATTGCTAGTTAATTCCCTGAATGGCTTCTTGCAGGATAGAAAATCGACCAAACACATTGTACGAGTCAGTGATACTTTCTAATGGGGAAAGAAAGTGTAAAGAGTACACAAAGTTGACTGAAGAAAATGCCCTCTCACTTATACTATCAAAGAATATGACACAAACTAAACTAAAAAGGCAGTGAGTAGGGGTTACAGTGTAGGGACAAAAAAGGTAATCAATGTCATAGTCAAGAATGGGACACAGCTAAACAGACTTAATAGAAACAGATTATTTTGTATAGACAAAAAAAATCCCAATGTGAAGGAGAGGAAATAATTCAAGGTGCATAAATGTTGGGGTCGGGTGATGGAAGGTAAAAGTAAAGCTATAGGCAAGAAAGATCCTAATTTGCAGAGAGGAACCAAAACCACTCTTTACATGCACTTTAACAAAAATGAAACTTTTAAGCTCTGCTTCTAAAGAAGAAAGGTTATGTGCCCTCACTGACAAAAAATAGGTAGCTAGGTTGACAGAAAAGGTTAGCCTCTAATTCAATTTTAGAAAACTCCAGGCACCTGGAGATTGTCAACTCTGCAGGAAAACACTGCAGAGTTATGGTGGATAGTAAAGCAGTGTTCTCCATCTCAGTCTGCATGTTTATAGTCCCTCTATAAATTTTGCCTTAAGGGTTAAAATACATGTTCAAATTTAAATCTACGACAAAAAAGGGGAAATAAAAAAATAGCTACAATTGAAACAGAAAACTCAAGTTTAGAAAAAAAAAGTGAAAAGTTTTTTCCTCTTAAAAGCAATGCTTTGGAACAGAGACCAGTTTAAACATGTATGAAACGTAAAAAAAAAAAAATTAAAAAAAGGGTTTATCAAATTCTACACACTTTTTTTTCCAAGAAAAATATATTTATTCCCGAATGTTGCTTTTGTTCTTTTAAGTTCTCTCCCTGCTTTTATTTTCTCCACATGGTTTGCAGCAGTAGCACCAGAACTGACATGGCTGGGCAGCTGCTGCAGTAAGTTAACACATTGGGTGCATAAAACCTAGAGTCGGCTTCAAGAGCTGGGACTCTGCAGCAGGTACTCACTTTTAACACCACCTATGGGATTTAATTTCTGTTTGTATTTGTGCAAAGAGTGGGGCAGCCAAAGATCATAGTGGGCCACTGAAACCGAAAACAAATGTTATGCATTCTGTCTTCTTGTTTGAGAGATTGTGTTGCGCGACTCAGCTTGCTTCTGCTCTGAAAAAAAAAAAGCTCCACATGCACCATCAACCCAGAGAAGGTGGATGACGGAGTCTGTGGAGGAGGAGAGCCTCGGAAAATTTATCATCTCTGCTGTGGTGCAATCCTCAGCAGCTGCGCTGGTAGTTTGCAGACAAAAGGAGTTCAGTAGGCCACTGACTTCCTCGGGGTATGTCCTGAGTTATAGAGCTACCCGTCTGACACAGCACGCTTGAAATAAAGAGGGTTATAGTCAAATTAATGGCATCACAGTCAAAGGTCTAAACAAGCTTCTGCCAAGACATCAATTAGACAAATCTTATCATCATAAAGTCTTTGCATCAATTCATAGTCAATCATTTTAAAGCAGAAATATTGCCAGCATTCGTTGCATAAATCTTGTAAAACACAGCCTCTTGTATATATGTCCAGTCCCCCCTAAATGCTGGTCTAAGCGTAGTTTAGCAGCTGCAGCATCTATGAGGAGATGAGGGGGGGGGGGTTTACTCCTCTCCCTTTCACTTCTCCTCCCTTTCTCATTAATGACCAATCAGTTAAAAACTTTATTGGTCCCAACCTGCTCCCTCAGCACATTTTTTTTTCTTGTTCCCTCATCTGTTTTTTTCAACCAGCCCATGAAAACACTTTGTTCTCTCCTTTCAATCTGCATCACTGTTGTCTGTCTCTGCAAAGGTCTTTCTCCCTTCTGTCTTTCTGTTATTGCTGCGTTTCATATCCTCTTTTCCTCTCAGGCTCGTGTTTTTCTCCCTCCAATTTCTGCATCCTTTTTCAGAATCCCACTCATGAAGGAGCCAGACTGGAAAATTAAACTTTAGATGTGTCTGTGGAAAATCTAAGAGACAACAGAGTGTATTTTGAATTGAACGTTTAGTCTGTATTTGAATACATCTGCATCATATATAGCCCATTTAAAAGTCCTCATCTCTCAAACTTTTTCACAGCTTGTCACCTTAAAACTTAAAAATCTTCAATGCATTTGGTTCCTATTTTATTTGAAGGATAAACAAAAAGATTTATAAGTGTGAAGAACTGACTCTACCAGTTGTGTAAATTCTCAGACTGGCCTTTGTACCTATTCCTCATGCAAAAAAAGCACAAGCTGTCACATTAGAAAAAAGGAGCTTCTTTTTTTATTGATTAATATTAATAATGAGTTTGAAAGCTCAATGCTCAATGTAGTCCGTGATCTTATTCACTTTATGAAGAATTCTCCTTTGTGAAATAATCTCCACAGGTTTTAGAGGAGTTCCAAGAACAGAGCCTGCTGAGCTTTTTTAAGTCACAACAAACTTTTAGAAGATATCGAGCATCTTGTTGCAAATGTCGAAGGACCAAGGCTTCCTTAGGAAGTACAATCTGCTCTGTTCCTTCTTGTAGAGAGCCTCACAGTTGTGTCTTCATTCTAATTTGTTGTCCAGGTTAACAACAAGGCATTTATACTCCTTTTCTACAAAGCAACATGTACACTCACCGGCCACTTTTTTAGGTACCCCATGCTAGTAACGGGTTGGACCCCCTTTTGCCTTCAGAACTGCCTAAATTCTTCGTGGCATAGATTCAACAAGGTGCTGGAAGCATTCCTCAGGGAGGTTGGTCCCTACTGACGTGATGGCATCACACAGTTGCTGCAGATTTGTCGGCTGCACATCCATGATGCGAATCTCCCGTTCCACCACATCCCAAAGATGCTCTATTGGATTGAAATCTGGTGACTGTGGAGGCCATTTGAGTACAGTGAACTCATTGTCATGTTCAAGAAACCAGTCTGAGATGATTCCAGCTTTATGACATGGCGCATTATCCTGCTGAAAGTAGCCATCAGAAGTTGGGTACATTGTGGTCATAAAGGGATGGACATGGTCAGCAACAATACTCAGGTAGGCTGTGACGTTGCAACGATGCTCAATTGGTACCAAGGGGCCCAAAGAGTGCCAAGAAAATATTCCCCACACCATGACACCACCACCACCAGCCTGAACCGTTGATACAAGGCAGGATGGATCCATGCTTTCATGTTGTAGATGCCAAATTCTGACCCTACCATCCGAATGTCGCAGCACAAATCGAGACTCATCAGACCTGGCAATGTTTTTCCAATCTTCTATTGTCCAATTTCGATGAGCTTGTGCAAATTGTAGCCTCAGTTTCCTGTTCTTAGCTGAAAGGAGTGGCACCCGGTGTGGTCTTCTGCTGCTGTAGCCCATCTGCCTCAAAGTTCGACGTACTGTGCGTTCAGAGATGCTCTTCTGCCCACCTTGGTCGTAACGGGTGGTTATTTGAGTCACTGTTGCCCTTCTATCAGCTCTAACCAGTCTGGCCATTCTCCTCTGACCTCTGGCATCAACAAGGCATTTCCGCCCACAGAACTGCCGCTCACTGGATGTTTTTTCTTTTTCGGACCATTCTCTGTAAACCCTAGAGATGGTTGTGCGTGAAAATCCCAGTAGATCAGCAGTTTCTGAAATACTCAGACCAGCCCTTCTGGCACCAACAATCATGCCACGTTCAAAGTCACTCAAATCACCTTTCTTCCCCATACTGATGCTCGGTTTGAACTGCAGGAGATTGTCTTGACCATGTCTACATGCCTAAATGCACTGAGTTGCCGCCATGTGATTGGCTGCTTAGAAATTAAGTGTTAAGAGCAGTTGGACAAGTGTACCTAATAAAGTGGCCGGTGAGTGTATATATTCACTGAGGACTGTTGGCCGAGTCTTCTTTGGTATTGCAACAAGGCAGGAGGTCCCAGTTGAGCTATGGCTACAATGAAGCTTATCACCGTACATAACTGAGTGTAGTGTAAAGCTCTTTGGGGTCCTCAAACATGATAAAGTGCTAATGATTAAATTCTGTATACAGTTTTATTTTAAAGCTGAAATGTAAATTATTCACAATACAACTTAATTAATTTTTAGGGGGAAGAAAGTATAACAACAGATATCTCACAACTACTAAATAAACATTTTATTTTATTCACTTTTATTTGCTTTGTATTTTTAAAATAAGGAATTCGCTCAAACACAATATGTACACTGAAAAGCAAAGGAGCACATAAGCCCAACTGTACTAAAAACAGTAGAATAATTAGATAAATAGGTAAATAAATATAATTGCCAAATCATGTGTTTAAATTATAAAATGTTTTAATTTGATATGACTCATTTTAATTGAATATTTTGAACAGCACTACAGAACTCTTGTAGGACCTACTTTCAGCAGGTAGGAAATGGACGTAAACAGTGCTAAAGGCAGTCTCATTTTAACTTATTTCTATAAAAAAAAACTTCTGCAGAATTTTTATTTTGTTGTATATGAAGCTGAATCTATGAAAAGATGTTTACCCTTGGCTACATGTAACCATTTATATATTCAGTAGGCCTATTAGTAGGATCCCTAACATATGTCATTAAAACCCCGTTATTGTTATGCATGTACACAGAATTTAAGAAAAACAATGCCATACATAAGATTATGCATAGTGAAACAGAATTAAATAAAGAATGTGTGGAAAAACACGAACAACGTGCTCAAATACCATTAAAAAGCCAACAAACATACTAAAATCTGTAGATATTAAAAAAAAGAATCAACATCCTTTTAGTACTACTTAATATCCACTACTTTCAGTCTTCAGTATAAAAAGGTTTAGGTAAAGGCCATCATTACCGTTATCACACCAGAAGCATGCTATAATAGGGAAAACAGAATAGCTCTCCTAAAACCCCTTCACTACTGTGCTATTACATGCTGAAAAATGTGATGGCATATTTCTAAACATCTGACTGCTCTATTGAGCTGAGTTGCAGCCATAATCCAGAGGTGAAAACAAGATAATGTCACCATAACCTAGTATTGGCCAGGTGTTCGTTGCAGGCTTTATTATAGAAGAATCAAAAGATTAACAAAAAGAGTTGTACAACAACCAAGAAAAGAAAATCACAGATAATTTCAGAAGTATTTTTTTTCATGAGCATAATATGTAATTCAGTCAACTGCATATCCCCCTGGTCTCCCTCAGTGTAAGGTCTTTGCTTCTATAAAAAAAAAAAACGACAAAAAAGTTGTATCCCAATTGATTTTTGCTGCACAATTTTTAGACAAGACAGTGAAGTACAGCACTGAGAAAAACTGATCAGATTAAGAAAATCAACAAACTACATTTGGAGAAGAGATGGCATTTTACATCAGTCCCAAAGCATCACACCATTGAACCAATAATTTATAGAGAACATCATTGGTTGGTTTCACAGTGACAAAATAAAGCTTCTGGAATGGTCTGGTCTATTGTTTGGCATGAAGCAAATAGAAGAGTTTCCCAGATCCTTTACATTTTAAAGGACAGTTTATTTGGAATAAGTGGTCATATACACACCTTTAAAAATCATTCAAGTAGTTGCAAAATTCAAAGGATGTCAGCTCTTCTTACCAGAAATCATGTTTGCAGTACAAAATTACTTCAGCTGGCCATAGCATGCTTTTCTTTTTTGTAGAGATTAATGAAATTGAGGGCTTTTGTTTTAGTAGAAAAGCTGAACCTATATAATTGTCTCTTTGCAAGTTGTCCCTGGCTCTTGCATAACTCTGTAATGGAGTGGTCATGGCATATAAGCACCGGACCTACTTTCTTTACTGAGAAAAATGTTGATGACTTTAGTAGTTTATTTAATTGCTATCCCATGACACATTTTAAGAATAATCTAGGCAGTAGAGTTTTTTGAAATGTCCTAAACAATCCCAGATGCAGAGAAATGCTCCCTCAGTCTCTGCAGTTTGATGGAAGTTATACAGGTTTGCCATCCTAATGAGTCAAAGCTTTGTTGTTTATCAGGATATGTTGCATTGTTGGCTTTAAGTGATGAAAGGCTGATTGCCATGTTTAGCTAGTTAGTATGATGAGTAAGGGCTGTGAAGGCTGTTGTTTGCAAGCCTTGACACAGAAAGTGAATCAAGATCTCCAGAAAGAGAAAAGCACTGTAAGAAAACTGGCAAACCAACAGCATAATTTCACAGTCTATAGTCTATATTTAAACACACAGGAAAAAAACACAGCTTAAAACTGAGAATTATCTTTTAAAGACTATATTTACAAATTAAATCAAGCCACATATAATTATTTTTAGATATGCAACGCATTAAGTTCTGTTCATAGTTTTTCTTATTAAAGGTAATTTCCTCATCAAATGCTTAACAACCCAATGTCAGCAGGAAGGTGTGAATATGTTCCATGAGAGAATGAACTGTAAAGTTTCTGAGTCCTTTCCAGCTTTAAAATCTAAATTGTGCTTCCATCAGTGTCTATTTCCACTTTCAGACTCGTTTTTTGGGCACTCAGAGAAAATCTTTTGAAAGTGCTATTCCAAAGTTAGGGGCAGCCATCAGGATAGCAATGGTGCAAATGATGTTAAAAACACTAAATCCAACCAGGCACAGGCGGTCAATGACAGCAGCTGCAAACTGCCACTGCTCCGCTAGACTCAACTGACGGTCCTGCTCACGAACACGTTCTACCAAGAATTGCACCTCATTTAGAAGAGCCTGTAGCTGGTTTTCCACAGCGACAGATTGAATCATCCCGCTGTGGCTCTGTAGCGCAGCTGCTCTCCCACCCCCAGGCTCTAAGCCACAGGGTCCAGTAACTGTTCCTGTGCGCTCAGGATCTGGAGATACTGGAGTTTCCAGTGGGGGGCCTCCAAACTTTGAAGAATAAAGGTGTTGATTTCTTGATATATCTGCAATCGTTCCTTCCCCACCTCCTCCCAGTGCAACACCTTCGTCTCCTTCTCCTCCTCCGGCTGGTCCTCTGTTAGCCCTCCCATTGCTGGTAGTTCGGCACCTCTGAATGGGTTCCATGTCAGCAGTTGACTGGAAGGTTTGAAAACCCATGTAAGGTAGATGACCATTGGGCTGAGGTGGTGGATAGGAGCTTGCATTTGGCTGGATATTTGCCTGCGAGTTTGGGCGGTGAGGAAGTTGGTGGGACAGAGGGTGGCTGAACTGAGCTAGGCTTGCCGGCAGGGAGCTTAGACTCTGCGGCAAGATGGAAGGAGCGGGAATGGGGATGCTTGTGGTGGTTGTGGTCGGAGAAGACAGGGTCTTGCTGTGAGAATCTGCTTGGCTGCTGGAAATAGTGGGTTCTGCTCCCTCTCCTGGTCGCTTCATGCGCAGGAACCAAGGAACCCACTGTAGCAGGACCAAATGTACCTGACAGTTAATGACAGAAGAAGACAATCAGAACATCGGCGATTAACATGTAGTCACATAGCAAACACAACTCTGAACATGTTCCTTAGTCCACTGCAGGTGGTAAAATTGACTTTAATGTACATTGACTGTATTCAGCAATGGTTCTTGTTTACATGGTTCTGAGTGAGCAACTGCTTTTTCCAACCCCCCAACCATTTAAAATCTAATAAAGAAATTCTTTGCCTGGCCATGTCTTAAAACCATACATGGCCAAACTGGCATAAGTTATAGATGCTAATACTGCCCTGAGTGACAGACCACTTTTGGCCCACATCCAAAACCAGCACTGTAGCTTTTTGAGAAACATTTAGTATGCTCACTTTTGTTTTGTAGAAATTAACAAAACAGAGAAGATGTGGTAAAACGTGCGGGCTCCCCAACTGGATGGATTTTATTTGCCAGTTATTGCTTTTAAGGAGGGCTATAATATTTTGAATTTAAAAGCAGAAAATAGAACATCAAGAATCTTTAGTCAGCTGTTATGAGTTCTTTATTATTGCTGCCTTGGCAGGCACTGTGAAATAGAATAATTGACAAGGCTAAAAAAGTGTTTTCAAGTGGCAATTTCAAGAGTCTTTATTATAATTAAGAAATAGCAATTAAAAGGAATGATGGGATCAAAGAGCAAAAGCCCTTCACGAGAGAGCTGCTACTATAGAATAAGGCAAATTAAACACTTTCAGTTTACTTGAAAAAATACATATAATGATCCCTTATATTTTCAGTAACTACTGAACCTAAGCAAGTGTAAAAAAAAGTTTCACATTTCTTTTCTATTTTAGCCGGAGATATATGTGAACAAAAGTAGAGCATTGTGAAGTTTAAGGAAAATAGATAATTATTTTTTTTTTGCTTATTTATTTTTTATTTTATCTAAAAAAATAAAAAAAATTTTTACCAATTCTCACTTACTTTAACACTCCCAAATAAAATCCAGTGCAACTGAGATTTCGAATCAGTATCTCAACCTTTGCACACCTGACAAAACCGTGTAACCAGTGTAATTAATAAGAGGCTGCAGAGATCCACAGCCTAGGAAGTAGAATATGCTGAAACAATGGTTTGTCTAGCCTAACAGAAAAAGTCATAATTATAAAAAGAAAATGTTATTATTAAAAGAAATCCAAAACAAGTCTTGCTAGAAGTTTGTCACAAGTCATATAGAAGGAGGGGCTCTGGTCAGATACGATTTAAATTGAACTGCCAGTGGGTAACCGCCAGATCCCTGAAAGCCATTTGTGTGAGTAGACCATCCAGCAATTCTTATTTTAACCTCCTGATATCTTCCTGTCTGGTTCCTGTTTTATCCTGCCCGTCTTGCTCCTGTCAGATACAATGCATCTCCAACACCACCGAGTGGTTCTTGGCCACTTATCCTTTTCTCCCCCTCTCAGTGATTCCAGTTGCAGCCTGTTCCTGCAACCCCATTTTATTCTTCTTTGAACGCTTACTACTTGTGTCAGCTGAATTATTGGGTCTCCATATTTTGTCCAGGCATTAAAAGAGTTTGCGTGTATTAAAGCATGTGAATAGCTGATTTACAAAGCAGTTGATAATAAAAAATTGTCTTTAAAGTAAGCAGAACAGCAGGTGCAAACTGTTTCGCATGACTAACCCTATACATTTATGAGTATTACCAAAAAATCACCACCTAGAATTAACTAAGCCAATGGATACGAGCCTTCCATTAGATAATTACTGAATGGGTGATTATGATTCAGCTGGCAAGTAAATTAATGCAAACTGGTGCAATGAGACTTCTAATTGATTAAACGACCATATTGAACAATGCATCCCACGGTCATGGAAAAGATGTCAGTCGGCTTCTGAAAGGTCCAATCATTGGCATGCTTCAGTCGCAGAATATATCTAAGGGGATTGCAAAAGCAGTGGAAAATTGGGTTAAGAGCTGTCCTACGCATTATTTAAAAAATTTAAAAAGAGTGGGTACCCTTTGTCTGTAAGATTGTTTTTTATTTGTTTTAGGCTCTAGTGGCTTAATTTAATTTTTTTAAAGTAGGCAGATAGAAAATAGGATAACCATGATGACAGCCACATCGAGGACCAGAGCCTCAGCACATGGGTTACTTGATTAAACCCTGCACCACCACTGCACTCATCGTCTTTAAGGAGAAAAAAATGTGGCTGGAAAAAAGATCCTGAAGGGTCATTATAGGCGATCACTTAAAATTCTGGAATTTAATTGAAGAAAAAGAATAAAACTCTTGAATATGTTCAATATTGAAAGTAAGAGTATTTCCACACACAATGCAATCAGAACTCAATGGATTGGGATTGGAACAGCTATGCAGCCTTAAGAAAACCACTAATCAGTTAGACTAACAGGAAGAAAGGGACTTTAATTGCTAAGGGGCATAAAGATTAGACTCTGGAGAAATGGAAGAAGGTCATATGATCCGAGTCCAGTTTTACCCTGTTGCATGATGGTTGGTACATCAGGGTAAGAGGAAGTAAAGCACCCATCATAGTGCCTACTGTACACACCTATTGTGGCAGTGCTATTATCTGATGTTTCTATAGTTGATCAAGTCTAGGTTCAGCAACACTATTTTCTAACATAATTAGATCAGCTGACAACCAGTTAAATCCATCAATGGGTTTTCTCTTCTATCATGGCATTGGCATATTCCAAGATAACAATGTCAGGATTCATTGTAAATTGTTTAAGTGGTTCAGAGAGCATGAGACATAATTTTTCAAACAGGGATTGGCTACCTTATTGCTACTGAGAATCTTTATGATGTGCTGGAGTAGGCTTTATGCAGCGGCATTTGACATGTGGGACGGGATACACTGACTAGAAGATGAAAGACTAAAGTCGGGTTTACCATCCACATGTGGCTTTTCTCTCCATCCCCTGCAGCTCATAATGCCTTTATTTATCTGTTGAGGTTCTCACTTTGGGGCAAACACTTTAAAAGCATCTATCAAATTTTAGTGAAAAAATGTCAGTAAATGTTTGCTGTTATCAATGCTAAAGGCAGTCTAACAAAAGCTTTATAGAAAACCTCATCATGACACCTAGGGACCTCTGTGATTTTTTTCCCCCCGCCTGACTATTAGTGGGAAAAAGACATCTGACCATACTGCACAGACTTAGGCAGAAATTTGTATGAACTTTTGGGCTATTTTTATGCAATTAAGCCAGGACCATGACCATAAAGGGATGCATAACTCTGTGTGTTGCTTCTGTCAGAAGGATTTAGGGGAGCAGCTGACAAAGTCAGCTTTTTCAGGATTTATGACAGGCATTTAATCTTAAAATTTTATTATTTTTTTTTGCTTTTTTAAAACTTTTTGTTTCCCTGTAGATTTACCCCATTTTACTTGCAGTTGTGAATATGGATTTAAAAAAATTCCACAAAGTATCGACACATAGACAGTAAATACTGATGTAGAAAAAGGAAGAAATTATTTGTTAAGAGTTTTTTTTTTTTTGGTTTCGGGGGCTCACAAAACTTTACTAGAATAAAAGGTAAGCCAATTTAGCCAATATAGAAAGAGCATATATCACTTTTAACTTTCCCTGGGAAATCTTTAATACTTTCTACAGTAACAAAATATATGGAAAAGTAAATCTCTTCCCTGCTCTGTAGACACCCATCTAATGAGCTGACGGTGTAAAGAACTCACCCAGCGTGGCATATGTCCACTGTTTAGACTGTGGTGATGGAACTGGAGGACGATGACTGTGGCTACCACTGACATTCCAACAATTACCATGGTGCTAGCAAAGTACTGACCTAAAACACACATATTGGTTATCAAAAAGGATGACAACTTCCAGATATAAGTCATGTGTAAGCACAAAGAAAGAAACAACTAACCAATCAGTGGTACAGAATCGGAAGTGGCGGGCATAATCTCTGCAACCATCAGCATGAAGACAGTTAGAGAAAGCAGAACAGTGATGCCTGAAGGGAGACAGGACACCAGGGAGTCATGGAGTGAGAAAATCAAAGAAAAGATTGTCTTCTAAGTATGGGGGTGCAGGAGTCCAACACAGTGAATAATGTATGATGTGTTTGACTTCCTGCCTTAGTAACCCATCTTTCTAACACTTAAAAGATCATAGTTTATCATCATTTAAAGAGCTACACCTTTGTAGGCATTTAAATGTAAACATGCCAATATCTTAGTAGGTGTGCAGTTTTGTAAAACCACATTAGTATTTTCTAACATGTTGTCTATGTAGTATTTTAACTTCTGAACACACAAAATTTATATTATATGAAATGTATATTATTTAAACTTATTTTTGGGTATGACATTAGATAAGGTTTTATGAACCGCTCTTTGACTCTTTTAATTATTAAAACTATAATTTTTCCTTTCACAATTGAACTAAACTGACACATCAAATCCCAGTAGAATACATTAAGCTTTGTTGTTTCAAAGTGGCAAAAGCACATGGATATGGACAAGAGTCTGGTTATGCATAGTATATATCTATTTTCTTGCAGACATTATGTCTGTTTCCTTTCATCTCACCAAGACTGATCTTCTCCCCCGAGTTGGCCGGGAGCAGAAACACCACCAGGGTCATGGAGGAGAGGAGCACACATGGGATGAGCAGGTTGAGAGCATAGAATAGGGTTCTCCTTCGTAGCGTCACTACGAAGGTAACATCTGGGTATGGCTCTGCACAGCAGTCATAGAAAACCTCATTACGACCCCCAGGGACCTCTGAGAAGACAGGGAAATAAAAAGATGCGGCAAAGGATTTATATTGTTCTGCAGCAGAACGTGACTGATGTAACTAATAAAATGTTTTGAGTTTGACTGTGCAGTTATAGGAAAGGCATGAGGAAAAATGTAGCAGCGGATCAGAATTTATCATAAATATAGCTGCATATAATTTTTTATAGAAAATGTTTTGGATGAATCACAAACAAATATTGTGATTTTTTTATTTATATATAAACAAGGAACCATGAAAAGATGCTTTGAATTCTGACAGGTTTCATTTATCTGGGAATTCCAGTAGATCTTTCATGCATTCATACCCATAAGGTCCCACTCTCCATTCGGCATGTATCCGGACACATCTGCTTCCTTCATTTGAATGTCCAGCAGCCAGCCGTCAAAAGTCCATGAGCCGAACTTTAGCTCACAGCGCTGGATGTCAAATGGAAACCATCTCACATCCACATTGCAAGTGCTAACGAATATGCCTTAAAATCCAGAAATAAGGAGAATTTATTTCCAGTGAAGCAACATCCCCCAGTATGTGACACAAAGTAGATTAGATTAATAATTAACTATGGCAGTCATGTGGAAGGATAGGAAAATTATGAATATCTGAACGCAGCAGACTTTGTTCTAATTTAATTTTGTGCAGGATGAGTACACTTTCTAAATGAATAAACAAGTCAGGTTTAAATTAGGAGACTTCAGCTGTGAAGACGTACCTGGAGGCAGATACTCACAGAAGCCACTGGAGTTAACCAGCACATTGGTCTTGAAGGTGGCATCAAATTTATCGTGAGCGCTGAATAAAGACAGTAAAGCGATAAAAGTTTGAGCTGCAGCCGCTGTAAGGATATTATTTGAATTAACACCTAAATAAAATCCTTAGTGCTGTAAAATGGAGCTAGTTTAGGAAATACGGGTCCAGTTTAAAGTTGATTAAAGAGGATTTGAACGACAAAAGTATGGTTCAATAAACCACTTGCTTATGTTAAATTAATGTGCATTTATCTATGGGTTTGTAACTTAATTTTTTATAGTAAAGATAAAGGATGACATTTGTAAATAAATAAAAAGGTAAAAGGTACTTAATCTTTTAAAAAATCTGCTTTAATCTTTTAGATTGTAGAATAAAAGGAAAACACAGCAAAGCTGAAACTGCAAAAAAAACTGAAATCCATCCATCCATTATCTGACACGCTTGTCCCAATTGGGGCGACGCGAGGGGTGCTGGTGTTTATCTCCAGCTGTCAATGGGCGAGAGGCGGGGTACACCCTGGGCAGGTAACCAGTCCATCGCAGAAAACTTAAATCTAAAGAAGTAATTTTTTCTTCAAATAAGGGCTTTTTTTTTTTAACTGAGGAGCTGAATGAGATCCTTTGCTCATGGAACAAAATAATATCCATTTAAAATAAGAAAACGATTGCATTGTCATATTTCAAGTGCATGTTATCTATTTATCTTTTTTAAGATCCAAAATACTAATTCCAGTGGCAAATCATCTTATTTAATTACTCAAATTAGGGGTAATTGCACTTGATTTAAGAAATTTTACCTTATTTCTAGATGTTTTTGCAATGTAAGCATTTCTAAGTCTAGAATTGAATCTGACTAGGATGCTTTTTCTTATAGAAAATACTAATGAGGACCCCAAAAATCCCCCGTACTACTTAGATGTTTATCTTTATGATAATAGATTAAGGAAGGAATAATGGAGATTTTAAAAAGCACATTCTCTTGTTTTTTTCAGACGTGGATAAGAATAAACCAATTTACAGGAAATGCTAAATGGGTTTGTGTGTTTGTATGAGTCACTCACCTGTTATAGAGCAAAATGTCAGGAGTCCAGACCTGGTCAGGGGTAAAACGAAGGTTCTTGACTCCAGGATACTCTGACTGATTCCACTGGAGATAGTGGTCATACCATTGCTATGAGACATAAGCAAAGACCTATTTCAACTAATGTAAGAGTAAATCCAATTTACTGTTAAAATATTTTTATAGTGTGAAAACACTGTTTTAAAGTGTGAAAACATAAAAAACAAATATATTCATGTTTTCACACTTTAAAAAGTTTATTTTGTTATACTGTGAGGCACTGTCTTCATTTAAACTAATAAATATGAAGTCTTAGACTGCATAAATTAGGATTTTGAGCTATAAGAATACAACAGAAATAGATTCATCCTGCTTTCATAACGCAGTGTTTAGGGGAAAAGCAAGAAGCTGTCCTCCTGCTGAGCAAGCCATTACTATTATAATGAAAGCCAAACAGCACCGTGGATGGCACTGAGCATAGTATTGCAATGGCCGACGGCCCGCAAAAAGCTTTCCGCTACACAGATCAATACCACATTATGAATGTTATCTATTATACTCACCATCTGCAGCCAGGCGTTTGTGGTGAGGATCTGATTCTTCTCATCCTTGCATGACACAAAGCAAATAAGATAATAAAGGTTTTTGCAGTTCAAATATAATAATGTCTTTCTCTTGTATCAGTCTTAAAATACTGCTGTACTTTTAGTAATTTGTTGTTTTTCCATATTAAAAAGTTGAAGATTGAAAACTATGATTCTGTTGTAATCACTCATATGGTTACAAAGAGAATATCTTAAAGCAATTTTGTATGAGACACAACCATGCTGACCTAATGTTTACATGTTTTTCAATGAAATGAAGCAGGTTGTGGTGAATATATCCAATTTTTGTCCAACACCCATTTAGGTTATTTTGATAATTATTTGAACAATGAATTCTGTGTCAAAACAACTAAGTTCATCGTGCAGTTTCTAAGATAAGACAATTTCATATCAGTTTTCTTTTAGGGAAACATTTAAAAAAAAAAACTAGTGGATAACAAACAGATGGACCCTCTTGATATTCAAAATACAGTAGGTAGCTACATCAGTGGAGCTCTGTATATCTACCCAAATAAGATACAAAAAAAAATGTTGTTCAGTTTGTGGACAAGGGCAAAACATACTAATCATGCTTTCCATGCCACATATGCTAACCAAATGATAACATCAAAATTACAGTGAACCCTCGTTTATCGCGGGGGTTACGTTCATAAAAGAACCCGCGATACGTGAAATCCGTGAAGTAGAAACCTTTATTTTTTTTACAGTTATTATACAATGAAATACTCCATACAACATTGAAATCAAGGAACAAAAACTTTTTACAGGCCCAAGCGTTTGTTTAACAAATAAATGTACGGTATAAACGTTGTTGCTGTCTGTTTTTTTTTTACAAATAACTACTGTACTGTACTGTAAAATAATCTAGTTATAAATAAATAAGTAATAATTTTAATCATCAATACGAAATGAAGCGTTAATATTGCGGGGATCAGCACCGCCCCGCCGTGACGGATTGGAACGGGGAAAAAAAATACAAAGTACAGCAAGACAGATAGTGACTGACGTGTACAGTACAGTATTTCACTGCTGTTCTGACGGAGCCGCTGCATCCTGATGGCTCTGTGGCGTTTTTTTCTTCTAAAGCCTGCGGTGCAGGTGTGTTTTTTGGAGAGAAGAACATAGTTATCGGTAGTTGTTGTCCCTTTATTTTCTTCTGGGCCAAAAGATCCTTATAAACCGACATGCCACCATTAATATGTTTGACAATAAAGTTTAACAATGCATGATGCAAATCCGTGAAGCAGCGCGACCGTGAAAAGTGAACCGCGTTATAGCGAGGGTTCACTGTACACCATAATTCCTTAGGATGGCTGTGATTATGCCACACATATAAAGTCAAGGAATCTCTTTGATAGAACTTAAACAGCAACATGAATCAGACTAAAAGATCTAAACACATAGAAAACCCTCATGTTTTTCATGTACAACATTGCTACTGCACAGCTTAGAAACTTTTAGATGTTCGAGCTCGGCCTTTCAGTGTAGTCCCTGTTCTCTAACTGTGACTAACTGTGTGTGCTCTCTTCATCCTCTGACATGGGAACTGATTCGGAGCTCGACTGCCTGGCTGTGTGTTTCCTGGACGGTGCCGCATGTGGAGCTGGTTGACAGTTGCCTTTTGTATCTCTGCTTCTTTCTGTATGTCTGTTTCTGTCTCCTTGAACCCCACTCCGCCTCTGCTGATGGCCGCTCACACTGACTCCGGTTCTGCTGAAGGTCGCTTCCTTTTAAAAGGGAGTTTTCCTCTCCACTGTCGCTACATGCATGCTTGGTGTGAGGGATTGCTAAAGAGTCAATGAGTCGATGCAATCAACTGGTTTTCCTTAAATAAATAAAAATTCAATCAATCTGACTGTATGATCTGGTTGAAATGTTGAGATGAAATCTTGAGATGATACAGTATGTGTTGATAATTGGTGCTATGTAAATAAACTGAATTGAAACACTAATCATTGCCCTGAGAAGCTCTGTTGGTAAAGCTCAAAGGTGGATTTAAGGGGACAAAACTGATCTAAATTAGTTTATTCTTTGGTGTATTTCACACTTGTACAGAGTTCAGTCTCAACAGTCTTCTCAGCAATGATGCTTTAAAGTGGATACATTAATTGTCCAACTGGTTAAGGTCTATGAACCTTTGCTCAGACACTGGCAGCTGAATTCTAATACTTAATACTCTTAGGATTACTGGGGTTCATCCAGTCTAAAAGTGAGCCATAAGACTGAACAGGTCAAGTCTTATGAATCATAACTGGTTTCAAGGCACAACCTGAAAATGCATGCTGGTGCTAAAGTCTTTACCGTTTAGGGGTTCATACCCATATTCCTTATTCTGTTTTTGAAAGACTATAGCTATCAACAAACCCTCTCCCAATGGGTAACTAACTGAGAAATCAGGGTTAGAAGAGCTTTGTACTGACGCCCAAAAGACAGCATCCTCTACACATGAGATCAAAAGTGTCTCTTCGAAGTGTGAACACTTCACATAAGAGCATTAATCAAAGCAACACTTCACCAGTAAGTCGTTTAGATTAGGGTGGCCAGTGAAATGCAACATGTGGCAGGTTGTTGAGGAAAGGTCAGAGCCACTTAAATTGTTCTCTAACATTAGAAAAAAAAATCCTCTGAGCTGAAACAGAACCACCTTTTTAACCCCACATTTCAGCCATAAAATATTGACTCCTTCATTGTTTTTTTTTTCCGTTAATGATAAGATCATAGTTTTTCCCCAGATCATCAAAAAAAATTATATAAGACAAAAGACCAGAATAAACAATAAAAGCAGTTTTCAAACATTTCATTATTTTTATTTCTTATGGATTTTTTGTTTATTTTTTAGATTGTTTTGACTGTTATCTTGATTATGTCTTCCTTATTAAACACAATCTGATCTCAATTTGACCTCCTAGTTATATTAAGGTATAACAATAATTTGATATTTTCTATATAATGACTTAACAGTTTTTGGTTGTCTTTTTAGTTCATTTGTACCAACAAGTCTAATTGCTGCCTGACCTCTAGAACTCACTTATTTAAAACCTTTCCCACAGTCATAGATGGTAGAGGTGTTGTGATGATCTGAAGTTTTTCCTCAACCATCAGGAATGGACCGTGTGCCAATCATTCATTAGTCATGAATTCTGTTTCCTGGCTGAAAAAAAACCTAAGGAGAATTTACCATCATCCCTTTGTGACCCAAAGATGAAGCCTACCTAGGATATCAAGGAAGAGAATAATCTAAGGCACACCAGCAACTGCAACTATAAATTCCAACCACAGAAAAATAAAAAACTAAATATAGGCCTTAAAGTGGTATACTTAAAATTTAACTGAGATGCTTTGACATGATTAACAAAATGGTCTTTAAAGATCAAAAACTCCTCCATTCTAGATGTGCAGAAACACTTCAAGGGGAATGGCCTCATCGCCAGAGAGCATAAATACGTGTCATTTTATATCAGCAGTCATACAGTAGGTTGGACTTTTTGTATAAATGGTTTTCAGATAAGTGATGGGTTGTATGAACTGACAACAGAGGGATCAGTTTGAATACTAGCATTAAATTTGAAAAGGCAACTCAAATCCTTAAAATAATGAACAATATTTAGGGAAAAAATCCCTGTTTAAAAACATTGGGCTAATATAATAAAACTACTGAGGCATACCACATCTGCGACCTGTATCAGAATGAAGGAGAAGTGAACGATGAGGGGCTGGGAGTCGTTGGCCACCGGTCTTTCCATGGGGTTGTAGTCCCTGAGCAGCTCCTTCAGAAGAAAACGCTGGTGTGGGCCCTGCGCCGACTCTAAGCAAAGGATGATGGTGTGGGTAACAGAGTGGGAAATTGGAAGAAATGGCTATCAGATCACAAAATAAAAGGAAAATGAGAAAAGATGGAGAAGTACTGCAACTGTTGTGATTGATCTAAAGCAAGACGAGCAGGAGGATAATTAGGAAATTAAATTTAGAGTTTAGAAATGTGAGAGTCTGCCTAAAATATGCACAGGCAGGAAAATATACGAGTAGGAAGACAGAAATAGTCCTGCTCTTCTTAATCAATTACAGCTTTGATTGATCACGAGCACCCAGCCAGTCTTCCCTCTTCCGTAAAAACGTCCACTTGGTTTTATCCAGGAAATATTGAAGCCATTAAATAGTAAAACACCCTAGACAGACACAGACAGCACTAACAGCAATGGGGGCTTAAGAAGCGCTTCCTTTTAAGTCTCAAACTACGCCAAAGGCCTTAAAATTGCTGTTGATTCGAACTCTGCTGTTTAATCTCGGTTGATTTGGGGAGACGTGTTATAGGTGGGTGTAAGAGGTGCTCTAAATAGACTCAAAACAACTGCAGAGTGCATGAAATAGTTTTACAATATCTGTTCTGCCTCTAGCCCTCAGTGAGAGGGCTCCTGAAAACGGTGTATGATTAATGCAGGTACTGTGGGGTGTCAAATCTATTTTCACTAGCAGAACCTTGAAAACCAGTTTGAGTTCAGGGATAGAAGATCTTTATACAGGTATGCAGTATCTTAGTGTTCGTAATGTCTCACAACGAGTAATTTGGTATGCTTCCCTTTATGTTTCATATTAACAGGACACTCCACATTTATGCTTACACCGTGTTAAGGTGTGTTAGAAGTGTTACAATTCAGTGCTCTTACATTGAAGTATGACCTCATGTTTTTTGGAAAATACAAATCATCAAATGGGTCAAGAAATAAATCTAACTATAGGAATAGAGATGCACCGATCCGATACCTGGATTGGATATCCGCTCCATTGTTAACTAATTAGCTGGATCATATTTAAGTGATTTGATATTGGATACTTGAAATCCAATCCAGTGTACTTTACATAGTTATAACTGTTATTTCTTTCTTTTTGCTACTTATGTGTTAATACATACGAGAAAGTACATCTATATAATTGTTTACATGTTACATTTTTTAACAATATTAATAGCAAGGCTAATGTCTTCATCCAAATGGCAAGATAAATGGTTAATTCCTTCAACAGTTGAATCAGACCGCATCGGATATCGGCCGATACACTCAGGTGAGTTAATGTATCGGATTGGATCAGAAAAACTGAAGCAGTGCATCTCTATATAAGACTGCTAATGCAATTATTGATCTCTATCAGCTTCTACATATGAAAGGGTCAATTGTTGATGCATAGCTATTTCAGTTTATCAGAGTTAAGTGAAATGTACTTGGTTACCCACCTCTTCCTGTTTTGCCACTGTTATTATCATCATGTGACAAATGGGCTGTTTCTTTTTTCACTACCCTAACGGGAAAAAAATGTTTTAGAGCAAGAACTGAAAAACACTTAAAATAACTAAAAAGGGTCAAAGTTCTTCCTTCTACCTTACAAACCTAGGAAGATATTAAAATGGTGGAATAAATCTCCAAAGCTCTGCATTAGGTAATAGCAGAGTTCCAACTGCACATATTTTAGATATGATTTAGGTCTGAACTTTTTCCATAGCCCTTCTAACAAAAACGATTATTTTATCCAAATTTGTAAATATATATCCAACCATCTATCCTGCTTTGCAGCTAGAATAGCTTCAGCTCATCTGAGAAGGCTGTCCACCTGGTTTCGAAGTGTGTTTATGGCAATTGTTAACCATTGTTCCAGAAGCCGATCATGAGGTCACACTCTGGTGTTGGACATAAGCGCCTGGCTCTCAGTCTCCACTGTAATTCCTCCAAAAAAAAAAATTATCAGGCTGAGCTCAGGCCAGTAAAGTTCATCCTCAACATACTTTTCATTCCACGTTTTTATGGAACTTGTGCACTGGTGCAAGAGGGGCCAGCTACAAGCTGCTCCCGCAAAGTTGGGAGCAAGAAACTGTCCAAAATCCAATCTTGATATGCTAAAGCATCCAGTTCCTTTTTACTGGAACTGAGGGGCCAAGCCAAGCTCCTGAAAAACAACCCTACACCATAATAACCCCCTTCCATCAAACTTTACACATAGCACAATGCATTCAGAGAAGTAGTGTTGTCCTGGCAACCCGCAAAACCGAGACTCATTCATCAGATTTCCAGATGGAGAAGTGTGACCTGTCATTCCAGGAGCGCGTCCCATTAAAGTTTTGCATTGCACTTAGTGATGTATGGCTTGGATGCAGCTGCTGGACCATGGAAACCCGTTTCAGTTCCCAAACACCTCCATTGTCTTATAATACAACTGACAATTGGCTGAAGAATATTTAAGGGCAAAGAAGTTTAACAACCAGATTTGTTCCATTGGTGGCATCCTATCACAGTTTAACGCTGGAAACCACACAGTTCCTGAGACAGACCCATTCCTTTACAAATGTATGCTTGGTTTTATACAGCTGTTGCCATGGAAGCACCTGATTCTTATATATAAAGTGGCATTAGGGACTCCAGTGACCATAGTCAAATGTTTTTGAGGGGCCAGAATGAGGAACATTAAGTCCTTCCAATCTCTGGCAAACTGACACAGCCCTCGAAATGTACTGGCTTGGGCATGGGAACGATCCTGACACGGAAGGTTTTGAGTCTCTACATCACCTCACCATCTCTGCAGATCTTTCACCAGGTCCCTTTGTGTATTTCTTGAATTTTCGCCAACCCATGTTATGATCAGTGTAACCCCAAAGAATGAGATCTTGTGTGGTGCTCCAGATTGAGGGCGATTATCTTTCAATTCTTACAATTTTTCCGAAATTTGATCTATTCTTTCTAGTCTTGCCCAGGTCTATAACTTTCTTCCTGGTGTCATTTGACAGCTCTTTGTTCTTGGCCATGCTTGATTATGGAGTCTGACTATTTCAGGGCATAGACAGTAGTCTTATATACAGATAATGGGGGCATTAATACAGGTATCATTGGTGAACATCTTAAAGTAAAAGTTACAAGTCAATGAGGTCCTTGTTATACAGTGTTATTTCCTGGATTTTTTCTCATTGTGTCTCTTATAGATGAAGTAGAACTTTCTTATCTCACTAAGAAGGAGAACTTGCACAATCAGTGTCCCTGTCTGTCTGTCCGTCCGTCCATCTTTTATTACAACATACCCATGGATGGAAAAATTGCTATCTTCTATGAAAACTACAGGGAAAATGATAACATATAATAGCATGGCTGGTTCATCATGAAAATAGATATATTGTCCTTATTCCCACCAATACATACAATGACCCACTTTGTTTCTAATTGAAAGACCTTCCTTTCCCACACAAAAACAAGCATATCATAAGACACTCATACTTGTTCATGCCCAGTCCCACTAAAAGCACCAGTTGAAGTCACTCACCTGGGAGCAGAGCCGCCAGTATCAACAGCCAAAAAGCCACTGCTTCCCTCATGCTGCATTCCTCAATATGAGCACTAAAAGAGTTGCAGAGGAGGAAACAGAGATGGAGAGAAAAATCTGGGAAACTGAGGTAAAAATGGGCATCTGTGGAGAAAAAAGGAAGCCTGCTGAAAATAGGTAGAGATTGCTGGCTTGTCAGCACTGGCAGAGCAGAAGAAAACAAGGAGAAAAAGAGAAGGAAGAGGGAGCAGCAGACACAGAGTGGGTGAGACACGCAGTGAAATGAACACTCCAGTAAAGAGGGAGATGCTGTGTGGGAGTCGATCAGATGGAGAGATCGGCAAACCTCAGCCTGTGGTCAAACTCGTACTTAATACTTCTATGAGCTTTCCTTCCTGCAGACTTAATGACAAACACCTATCTGTAGCTGACTGTCAGTCATTCTTATATCCTTATTCCCCAATTTAATATTTTCTATACAGCCTAACTTTTCTCAGTTACCATTTAGATCATATTTTATGCAAAAAAAAAAAGATTTTCTCTTTATCTTCAACAGCTTCTTGAATGAATTTAATTACATTTTTTCTCCTTTTTTTGCTGCTTTCTTATATTTACTGCAGCCATCTAGGATAACAAGCAGTGATTGGTAATTACATCTCTTTAGAACAAGATTGAACTGACATCTCAACATTCACAATGCAATGCTGACACCAACTGGTTCAGACACTTAATACATCGAAGATATCTGCGGTCCACTTAGTTGAAAGATTGTTGGGGTTGTTTTATTGGAATAAAAAATAAGAACACTTAAAAAATTTCATGACAAACCTAGATTTTTTTAATGCACTTCATAATTAACTGTAGGATTTCTTCCCAAAAGGATTGTGGTGACTTGCTTACCATCAAATTCATAAAATCCCAACAAGATTTTCTCTTTAGATATGCTGTCAAGTAAAAAGCATTCCACTTTGCTGAGGAGTTTTGTGTTTAAGAGTATAAAAGGAAAAATCTTATTATTATTATTATTATTACACACTGCAAAACCTAGATGAGAACCTGCAAAAGTGTGCAACTTGTTCAAAATGGAGAGCTTATTTCTAGAAAGCAAGTATTCATGTCAATAAATGTGTCATTGTTATCCTGGTGTAAGTCCTCGTGTTTTTTATTAACAATATTGTCAAATGAATTTAGAATTTTGTCATTGCGATAGTTTACTCTTTAAATGTTTTACACTGAAAAATGTCAAATCTTAATGCAACAATGTGAAAAATGCCCATAACAGCAGTATACACTTGCACAGCCGTTGAAAACTATGGTAAAGTCACATTACTGTATGTAACGACTTACTGTGTGCAAGACAAATATTTCTTCCGTTGATTACATTTATACATGCACTCTTTGCAGTTCAAATCTGCACACATCATTGTGCAAAAGAACAAAGTGCAACCTCATTTACAACAAACATTAACAGCCTTTGGGTATAACTATGCACAAATGTAAGCCATATCAGATTAGAGTGCATATTGGAAATGAACATACGACATACATCATCTATGCATGTATAGATATTCCTCTCTCTCTGGCCATATAGTTTTATTACATCACAGTGAATATCATCTCTTTCAATGCAGCAAGAAAAGCATCTTCTTGAGTGGCAGATCCACCCTCTGCAGGACCCTGCAGTGATGTCATCACATGCAGCACGTTGCTGGCAGGGCCATTTGGATATGTGGATGCAGGTCATTTAGCTTCCATCTCTAGGAGGAGGAAAACTCTATTGGATTTACCAATGGTGAGTAGGAGGGATATATTTCACCTGCATCCTGTAATGTCCTGCACACCACTGTCTCGTGACATCTAAACAACAATAATACAATCTCCAGTAACTGGAGTCCAGTTAGACTCCTCTCATTTCCATGGATTATGTCCTTGTAAAGAGCGTCTAAAAAAGGTCAGCAGATGTTGTGTGTTTTATGGATTAAAATGTGGGATACGGGTGAGGATGCAATTTCCTGAGATGTCTGCACATATAATATTCCCTCCTTGTTGGCCTGGGTCATCTGCACTTGCTCTCTGTCCAGTGAGATTCCTTTCACGTCTTCTGCCTCTCTGCCAGCAGGAACCCTGCCTTATGAATGTTTGTAGCAGTTGCCTGGCCTCCAGCTCCAATACACGCTCTGTTACAGAAAAGGGAGTGAGAAAAACAAGCACTTGTCCAGTGTAACATGATGCATTTTAGACAACAAATTGTACAGTATGCGCCGTTACTACACATACATATAAATGCAGTGCATGTCACTTCATAAAGTAAGAATTTTACAAAACTGAACATTAGAACATGTATAGAACACATACATACTTTATTTGTACAAAGCAGTGATATGTCTCCTTCCCTCTGTTGCTGTTCCATTCAGATGGTTCATTGTTCAACTTTTTAATGCTTATGTCATTCCTCCTCTGCACTGTCAATGTCAATCGTAGCAGCTGAAGGAGATTAATTATTCCCAAACATGTCATAATCCTCTAAAACAGCATTGTGTATCTCTCTCAACCTTCTGATATTGTTTGAAACAACCTTTGCAAAAATGGCTTCCTCTTTTTTTCTAAGTAAAAGGTGCCTTGTTTCAGCTCTGAGAGGTTGTCTTTCAATCCTGCATGGTGGAGAGTAAAATCACAGTAAATGTGTAAAGCTTTACTGTAATCCTACTGTACACTACAACATACTAAAGGTGTGATTACTATAATGGGCAAACCTTACAATGTCCATAGTCAGTAGTCTAAGTCATAGCTTACTTATTTAAAATGCAAAATTGTCAGTGGGATGTATTTTGAATTAATAAAGTATACTTACTCAAATGTAATACTAATGAGTTCATTGTTTGAATTGCATAATAAACAGGGTTACATTTATGCAATTCACACAATAAAATGTATGTATTTGATATAAATACAATAATTAGTAATTATTTTGAGTAAGTATACTAATATATTACTAATTGTATTAATATTAAATACATAAACCTGATGATTAGGTATTTATGGGAGTTTGTTATGTAATAACTGCTGATTTTACTATCACTTATTGTAAAATGTTTGTTTTAAATTAACCAGATACACTTTCTGTAAATGTTTTTTATAACTATGCAGTATTTGTGTTAACAGTTTCTCTCTTAATTCTTTGCCGTTTAGTCTTTATTTACTTTTTTTTTATACACTTTTAAGTTATATTTTGTGTGAATCTTTTCACTGAAAAATGTTGGTCAATCTGTTGCTGTTACAGCACAATTTTTCCATTGCAGGATAATGAAGGAATTTTCTGTTCTATTCTATTTCTTCTAAGAGAATGAACACATCTTTTCCTGGTTGGTTCATGTATGCTTGCAAATAGAGGTTTATGGTAATCTTATCTTTTGTGGCATTTATTGCTTCCCACACCCCTTCACATCAGTGAGGTTCACCTCACAGTAGCTTTTCAAAAAGTTTTAGGAAACAAAAAAAAATATTTTAAAGTCTGTGAAATTTGCTTTAATGATTTTGAGAACTAAGTTAATATTTTGTATGCAATTGCTCAAGCGAAGAAATAAGGAGTTTTGGCCGTCCATGGAATGACTACTTTGCATTTACAACAATTATAATTCATTTTGTATGACTTGACATGTGAAACGATAAAGTTATAAAACAGCTGAGGGTTGTATTAAAACAATTGATGCATGTCCAAAATATTAAAATGTCTAAATATTCTATAGGTTGAACTAGCTGTTGTGTGAATGTGGTGTGAGAATTGTGCCAAAGCAACTGAGAAAAACTGTATAAGAAAAGATGCCTAGTATTATATATGTTGAGATGTTTATATAGCCAGAGGTAAAAAAAAAAAACAGAAAATAGAATCACCATAGGCCAGTGCTGTTTCAGTAGTTACATTTATAAATATGTACCACCTTCTTAATATCGGTGGTAGCCTATGTGATTAAATTAATTATAAGCCCTTCAGTTCCTGAGCTTAATATCTCTGAGTTTTGGAAAAGGTTGTGATCCATCAATCACCTAGGAAACTAAATTTATAAAAATTGTAAATCCTTTTTTTTTTTTTTTTTTTTTACAGTTTTATGTGACGCTATTAGCAATATAGATATAAACTGTAGGATTAAAGTTAAATATGGGATTAGGATTAATTGTTATTAACACATATTTTTCTATTTTATTTGATTTTCTTTAGTTGCATAGACGTTAAAGTCCATTTAACTGCCTAATATATTATTGCTATTCAGAAATAAGTTTCTATTTTGATAACAAATTGAATTTAAAGCACACAAAAAAAGTTCATGCTTTTTTTTTTTTCTTTTCCACCAACCAACGTGTTGAGTGTCTATGTGTTTTTTTGTTTTGTTTTTTGTTTTGTTTTTTTGACACCTAAAAAGCATTCAGCATTAAGTGTCCAAGACAGAAAAAGCATATGATATGCTTTGGAAGGAGGGTTTATTAATTAAGATGAATAAAATGGGAATCAAAGGAAAAATGTTTAATTGGATTAAGGATTTTTTAAAGAATAGAAAAATAGAAGTAAGAGTTGGGGTAAATTATTCAAACATTTATGATATACAAAATGGAACTCCACAAGGTAGTGTATGTAGTCCAGTGCTTTTTAATATAATGATTAATGATATTTTTGATAATATAGATTTTAGAATTAATAAAGCATTATATGCAGATGATGGGGCATTATGGGTGAGAGGAGGAAATCTTAGTTATTTAAAAAATAGAATGCAATCAGCAATTAAAACGGTAGAAAGATGGTCACACGAATGGGGGTTTCGTTTGTCTGTTGAGAAGACACAAGTATTATGTTTTTCAAGGAAAAGGGATAATCCAACAGTAGATCTTAGATTATATGGGCATGAATTGAAACAGGTAAATATGATAAGGTACCTTGGTGTATGGTTTGATGAAAAACTTTCATTTAAGATACATTTGCAGAAGATTATTGATAAATGTAAAAAAGGTATTAATATATTGAAATGTTTGTCAGGGAATGACTGGGGGGCAACTAGCTCATCCTTGAAAAGAATATATGATGTTTTAATTCGATCTGTGTTGGACTATGGATGTATTGTTTATAAATCAGCTGCAAATTCTTTGTTGTTAGATCTAGATAGAATCCAAGCCAGAGCGCTTAGGATATGTAGTGGTGCTTTTCGAACATCTCCAGTTCCTGCTCTTCAAGTGATTACTGGAGAAATGCCACTGGACTTAAGGAGGATGAAACTGTCAATAAATTACTGGTTAAATTTACAAGGGCATGAGGAAAATTACCCTACTAAACAGATATTCAGAGAATGTTGGGAATATGGCCATAATATAAGGAGTTTTGGATGGGAAGGAAATATTTATGCAGAGTATTCTGGGATAAGTAATATAACACACTGTAAAACTGTAAGTACATCTAAAATTGCTCCATGGTTTTTCGAAATGCCAATAGTAAATTTAGAAACTAAAAAAATAGAAGAGTCTTGTGGAGGTTTGTATCAAATTATTCAGCAGCATTTAGAAGTAAGGTATGAAAATATGACACAAATATATACAGATGCATCAAAAGAGGAAAATGGTAAAACAGGAGTAGCAGTATATATTCCAAAAGAAAATATTTCTATCAAGAGAAGAACAACAGATAATTTATCAATTTTTTCAGCAGAGATGTTGGCAATTATTTTAGCATTGCAATGGGTGCTGGAGGTGAAGCCTAGAAATGTAGTTATCTGTTCAGATTCAATGTCTTGCCTGACTAGTTTTAAAAGTGGAAAATCTGAAAGCCGTCAAGATCTTTTAGATGAAGTCAGTTATTTAATGTATGGTATAAGGCAACAAAATATAAGTATTGAATTCACATGGGTTCCAGCACACAAAGGAATCTTAGGTAATGAAAAAGTAGATAAGTTAGCTAAAGAAGCAGTTAAAGTAGGAGAAATTGAATATGATGTCCCGCTAAGTAGAACAGAAATAAAAGTAATTATTAAAGATAAAATAAATAAGGTATGGCAGAAGAGATGGAATTTAGAAAAAAAAGGAAGACATTTATATAAAATACATAAAGATATTAGCATAGGATATAACAGTATAATGAGTAGAAGAGAGGAAATATGGATAAACAGGTTAAGGATTGGGCATACTAGTTTAAATGCAGGTCTAAAAATAATAGGGAAACATTCAACGGGTAATTGTTGTTATTGTGGAGAAATCGAAGGAGTAGAACATGTGTTGATCTATTGTAGCAAATATATAAAAGAGAGGAAAGAACTGGAAAGGGTAATGGGGAGTTCAGTAAAGATGGCAGATTTATTAGGGAAGCATCAATCAGATAAGATAATTAAAGCACTTATTAAATATTTAAAAGATACAGAATTAGCTGGGAGAATTTAGTGTGTGTATGTGCGTGTGTGTAAGTATAGATAGAATTTAGTTTCATGAAGATATAAAGATATATAGACATTATATTTCTGAATTACATCTCCGTCCAGTTGATGGCGGTAATGCACACAGGATGCAAACTGCCAGAAAACTCAATAGAAGAAGAAGAAGTGTCCAAGACAGTTAGGTGCCTGCTAAGGACGCGCTAGAAAAATATTCGAAAGTGGCCCTTTATGGCTGCGTCACTCTCGCGCGACGGTACAGCCTTTGGCTCCAGTTGCAAACCAAACCGTCGCATCTCCGTGCAGCGGCTGCTTGGTTGTTTTTGTCACGGAGTTGACCAAAACAACGAGATACTGTAGGAGGAGGAAGGCGAATGAAGGTATTTTTTAAAAACCGAGTCATATTTGTAAATAATCTAGCGAAGAGTAGTTCGCCTTTTTGGGTATTTTGAAACATTTAGAAAAGGCGCATCAGGCGAGGGACGGGAAATGGTGCAGAGAGCGGAGCTAGCAGGATAACGGCTAATGTTAGCTTGGTGGAAGAACGATAGGAGCTTTTGGCATCTCAGTCTTTCATATATATGAATCTCATATCTCGGTGGTTTAATAAATTAGTCTTTCTACCCTTCAATATAAAAGTGATAACATTATGCATAAGTGCTTAAAAGAGGAAAACAGAGGAAGTATTGCTGTTTTAATGAGCAATAAACTAGTTGTACTTGAGTTTTAAGTAGTTGTGGTTGTGTCACTTCTAGAACATTGAAACGTATATTCAAATCTCATTTTGATTAAATTGAGGTTGAGATGAACCAGTTCAAGCAGGTTCGTACCAAACCTTTGCAAATCCCTTTAGTTTACATGTACTAATACACCCAAATGAAATATTATGTTGTGTAAAATCATAAATACTCAAACCTTGAACAGCAGGCGATTAAACTGGTTTACCCTCACTTCATTTTTTAAGTCAAAGCAGAGTTATTTTCACACTTTTATGTTTGGTGTGGCAATACCTCACATATGATTCAGTTTTTAAAACTATTTTGAAGAGTGTCGGAGTGTGTCCACGTGCAAGCTGCCCACGTGTAAACCCAATAGTTGATAAATAACATAAAAATGCTGGTTTTAATTAGGAGGTGTAAAGGCAACAAAGCTGTTTATATGTGAGCCCTATATAAAATAAGTTGGATTGCAATATGATTACTTCCAGTAAGTCTCTGTGTCCTTGTGCTGCCTTCATTCAGTAGGGTAAAATGGATCCTTTCCACTTGTAAAAGGTAAAGGATCAGTGGAAAGGGTCATTTTTTATTGTGGTAGGGAAGAGGAATATGGTTGATGTACAGATAATCCTGGCATTGCGTAGGCTAGAATGCAGTACTCATCATACAAAATAGTTTCTCTGCTCTGACCTGTTAAAAGGTTAAGGTTTTGATCATCTCAGCAACTCTGGTATCAGAACATTTTTCCAGGTATGCAGTGAAAATCACAACATGAGCGATGTGTTCATGTGCAACTTTCGTGTCAGTTTTTGTTATTTACCATAATTACCACACCACATGAAGGCACCATTAGACATGTTGGACGCCTTCATCTGTCTCAGGTGTGGACGGTTGCCAAAGCGAGATCCCGCTCCATCATGCTGGTTATCTTACTTTCATGCAAACTATGTTAGCATGTAAGGGACTGGTTTTGCCTTTTGGCAAGATATTATGTCATTCAAACCTGTAAGGCAGCATTTCTGTCTACTCCAAATAAATCAGTATAATAATGGTATTTAATATATTTACCAGCAAGTTAGTTTTTGTTTGGTTTGATTTTGAGTTATCAAACCAACTCAGTCGTAGTTCCGATCATTCGAACAGAGCCATTATTAACTGAGTGCAAAATAAAATTTTTATGTATCATGTGTTTTTTTCAGGTTAATCAAATTATATGTAATATACAAATGTGTAGTGGGCATTTCTTATATATGAATTACCTTCAACTTAACTCGCATATGAAAATGGATATTGGTGTGACATGATTTATTCACAAATGTGAAAAGCATAAAGAATCAAGGCAGAGTGTATATGAATCCAATGTTTGTGAACAGGGGGTTGGTGTGAGACTTAATGCTTATGCGCTGATCCAAACGTGGATCACTATGAAAAAAAAACAGAAACTGGGTGATATGTTTTTTTTTTTTTGTTTTTTTAATACAATATTCATTTGTGGAATTCTCAGAATTCTGACTGAATTCTGACAATAAAAAAGTCAGAATTCTGAGAAAAAATTTAGAATTCTGAGAAAAAAGTCAGAATTCTGAGATTTATTTCAGAATTCTGACTTTTTTCCCATGTTAAAATGAAAAAAACATATTTTTTTAAATCAGTTAACTTTTTCTTCAGTGGCCCTAATCCTCTTCCGTATACATGAGATCTATTTTTGTAATAAATTACCATAAGATAAGTACTAAAAATGTTTGTTAAGGAGCATTAATGGCTGAAGAGGAGGAAAGGTCTTTATCATATATCCAGGAGTTTCCACAGACAGGAAACGGAAGTGGTCCCCTTAAATCAAAACCCGGTTTTTCAAAATAAAAGCAGCGAATCGAGAATGGTTTCTCATCTCGCCGCGGCTCTAGAGATCAAAGTTAAGCCGTTAAGCGTCCATGGGTACCATAGAGTCTGTGATAAATGTGTGTTTAGACAAAAATAAAATAAAGATAACGTCATCATCGGCGTCGATCTTTTTATCCTTATTTTAGACCCAGAGCTCAGCTTCCCTTTGTCCATCCAGGAACGCAGCGCCGATCACGTGACCAACAGCAGAAACTTAACTTTTTACCAAGAAGGGAAAACGAAAGTTATTTGTCCCACACGTTTCCCTGTGTTCCGATTTACTTTTCCATCTTAGATGTTTCATCTTTGGAGCGCGTGGTGCAACCTCACCGTCACACATGCAGTATTTATAAGCGCCTTTTTAGAGCAGAACTTAAATGATCTAGCGTGGTTTGTTTTCTATTGATGCTACCTAACGTCCGGGTTTCCTTTATTTTTTTGCATTTAACGTGCTGATTTAAAAAAAAATCCTCAATATTAGAATTTTTATATATTACATCTTATTTCACTTAAATAACTTGATTTCTGGAAGACTTCAAAAGCAGCTCAAATTGGCTTCATTATCTCCTTTATCATCTGCTTCCTCAATTTGATCGCCTGAAGGTGAGATTTATAATTGTGTCCTAGTGCAAAGCCTTGTGCTTTCTATAACCACAATGCATATGTCTAATAATACAGAAGTATTTCATTATTTACTTATTTACCCCTTTGACTGGGATGTAAACATGAAGAACTCTTATTTGTAAAAACCCCAAAATGCATATTTGTATTTTTGTGTGTCAGATGTTGCTTTGCATCAGGATCAGATGAGTCGGCTCCAGCCCACTGTCTCTCCTTGTTACTCTGATGAACCGACACTGCTTTGTGCTCCATTAATGTGGGCCTGTCCAGCTCTGTGCTGACAGGACCAGAGGCGATGAAACTTGACTCAGTATTGGGTGACTTCTTGTTGTCAGCATCACTGATGCAGACATCATCGAGGGTGTTGGGTATGACACTCAATGCGGAATCAATCTTTATTAAAAAAAATATAAACTGTGTAATCTTAATTTCAGATTGTGATCCCTGGTGTATGTTTGGAGGTAGGGAAATAAGATACCTATAAACAGAATTAAAAGCTGCTGGATTTTCCACTTCATAGTTTTTACCCTCTGTAACAGGCCAGAAATAATATATAGCTGCGACAAGAAGTTTTTAATTATTAACCGATTTTTTTTTTACCTTGGGATTTCTTTTTAGCATTACACAGAACGATGGCACCTCCCTCAACTGTATCCTTGGAGTTTAAGTGTGTTGTAATCTGAAAATAAAAGCAGCAGAGATTAATTTCTGCATGTACTTTTTCCTACTGTCTATGCTTAAACCTTCCCAGATTGTCTGCTCTGTTGTGTGGTGCATTTCAGGACGTTAGCAGCGTCCTTGGAGTATAGAATGTGAGACTTGTCCAAGGACACTTAAGCAGGCTGAGGGGTTGTCTGCTGATGTAACGGTTTCTTGTAACCTTTCTATTTATTGTTGGTGTTCTGACTTTGGCTTTGTCTCTGCTTCCAGTGTGCGTCCATCCTGACCCAAGGGTTCATCTTTTGCCTTTTCTGTTGGAGTGTGAAGACTTGCAATCATCCTAAACAAAGAGCTGTCCAAGCCCCCCTTTTAACTCCACCCCTGCGATATGAGCAGAGGTAGAGGAGGGTCCTACAAAGAACATTACAACAGACATCAGCCTCCCCACCTTCAGGCTAAGGAGAATTACTACAGAAGCGGTCAGGCCTCACTCTTTTATAGAGCCGGTCAGGAGCTTATCCCAAATCTAAATTACTACCACCATCCAGGAGGGCCTATACAGCCACCGCCTCCTCTGCTCCCATCTGCTCCCCCTATACCAGGCCAGGTTAGAGTAGTCGCTGCTCCTGACCACATAGATTACCAGGTTCAGGGTGGCTGTCCGGTTCCGAATTCCTTCCGTAGTAGACAAGTAGAATTCCTAAGAGGACGGAGCTCTGAGGCACCGCAGTTCAGACCTCGCTTACAAGGAGGCGGGGCAGCATCGAGCAGGCCTCCTAGTTCTCCATACCATTCACAGTTGGGCTATAGTAGATATCCAAACCCTGGCAGCAGTCCGAGAGGACGAGGAAGCCAAAACCAGAGTTTTCATTACTCTTTGGGTCCAGGAGCATCTCGAGGAGCCAAGGGCCCTCGATTCCAAAATAAAAACCAGTTCCAAGGAAAAACCAACAATAATCAATTTTCCAACAGGCAATGTTGGCGAGAGGAAGACTCTCTGTGTGATAGTTTTCAGAGTTTCTCTCTTGAACAAGATCCAGCCAACCAAGGTAGAGAGAAGTTAGACAGATATTCATTATCCAACCCCTTAGCTGATTCCAGATTTGGAAAAGTTAACATCTGCCTTACACCGCACATACAGGAGCAGGTGCACGGGGTTCTGGCTGCTTTGAAGCCAGGTGAGAGTATCTCTGCGAAAGTGTTAGCCAAAAAACTCCATTTGCCCAAAAAGGTAGTAAACAAGGCTCTCTACTCTTTGGAGGGCTCACAAAGAGCTTCTAAGCAAGGACTTCAACCTCCTCTGTGGAGTTTGTACAAAGCTGAAGGTCCGGTCTCTGATAGTAGAAATTCAGTTTCTTACCTGTGTGCCGGTACTGAACAACCCGAAACAACTGAAACCGTGGTTGACCCAGGAAAGGAAACCAAAGGACAAGTTAAAGAGGAGAAATCTGACACAGAATCTAGTTCCTCTTACAGCCCGTCTCCAGAGTCTTCTGACTCGGAAAAAGCCCAGTCACCAGCAGAAAGTCAGAACCACAGAAACGATCCTGCAAGCACAACCATCTCCACTAATCAGGACGCTAGTTCTCCCATCATGGCACACAAAGAGCAGATTTTACAATGCCTTCTTGATTTAGGAGAGGCAACTGCTCTCGTTTTAGCCAAAAAACTGTGTCTAACAAGTGCTAAGCAGGTAAACCCCACACTTTATGCTTTGGAAAGGCAAGGTGAAGTTGTTAGAAATCGTGATACCAATCCTCCAAAATGGGAGCTCTCTGCCCACCGCAAAGAGAGGATGGAAAGGAGCCTGAAAGTCTCAAAAGGTGCTCCTGTTTTTGGGGATCTGATAAAGATGGAAATCAGTACAGAAGAGAATAACGAAGGGTCTGTCTTCCCATCGTCAGCGTTACCAGCTATGCCAGGCCTTGAGCCTTTGCCTCTGCCGGATGATTTGCTGGAGCAAAGTCGAAGTGGTTTGGTATATTAACTTTCATCCTTTTTATTTTCATAATATTTTAACTTGTAATGATTATTCCAGGTTTTCTATTGTGAAACTGAAAGTTTAACTGGACCTCCAGTTTCAAGTAATGTCAAAGGAGTTAATGCTGACATTGTTTTCTGAAGCCTGTAGCTATAGTCACATTTACGTTTTGCCTATATTTCAACTAAAGTAAAAAAAAAATTTCCACGTGGGAAATAGGTGTTGGAGAAACACACACTGTTTTCCACCAAAGTAACCATCTGAAAAAAGGGTTTTATTGTTAAATAAAGTTGAAAATGCTAGCTTTTTTCTTCTTTTTTACTAAATTTACCCTGAAGGAGAACTTAGCTTTTTATTACTTGATTTAAACACTAAAACTTAACTCATGTATCCCTTTTTCCTTGTTTTAGGAGCCCACTCTAACGTGTGAAGACAAAACTCCCAGCGACCTACCGTGGGCCTCTGATGACATTCCAGAGTTTCTCAATGCTATCCGCCGAGAGACTGATGCCAAGAAAATTGCAGAACAGCAAGGTGGCGCCGTTGGAACTGTTGCTGTGTCTGTGGCTGCACCACCTCCTCAAAACCTGCAGGCTAAATTACAGGAAGTGAGGCTGAAGAACCCCGTCAGTGGACTGATGGAGTATGCCCAGTATCTGGGCCAAAACTGCGAGTTTCTGCTCCTCAACCAATCAGGACCCTCTCATGACCCAAGGTTAGTCGACTTTGTAGGTAACCATGCTGTTTTAGGGATAACAGATTTCAGTCCAGCCTGTGGATTGAGTTTCTTTCTTTCCCTGCCCTTGATAGATTTCGTATGCAGGTGATGCTGAATGGAAAGCTGTTTCCTGTCGCAGAAGCTTCCAGTAAGAAGGTTGCTAAAAAGGATGCTGCTGCAGCTGCTCTGCGCGTGCTTAGCGGAGAGATGCAGGGAGGGACGGTAACGCCGGAGGAGGGAAATGCTACCAGTGGTGACCAAATAGTGGACATGCCTCTAGATGCCACTGTGAGATTTTTAAAACAAATAAAAAAAAAACAGTCTGTAGGAATGTAGTTGTTTCTTTATTTAATTGATCTTTCTCTTCTTTAGGGTTCAGATGAAAATATGGGTGGGACGTTTGGATCTAACAGTGTGGAAGGATCAGCAGAAGGAGCTCGCCAGCCTCTGTCCCGTTCCCTGCCCGGCGGGAAGAATCCCGTGTCTGTCCTGATGGAGTATAGCCAGCGCAGCGGAAACCCCATCGAATTCATTAACACAGGGCAGGCAGGCCCACCACATGACCCAAGGTACGCACTCTGTCATCACTCAGATCGTATAAGGTTGCTGCTTATATTTCTTTGAAAATGTTTAGGGCTGATCAGGCTGCAGTGAGTAAGAGTCAGTGAGGAAGAGATAGAAGGTAGCAGAGTAAAATACATCCCTTTTGGGGAAAATACAAATAAAACCTCTGAACATTAAGGTAAATAATCCATCTTCACCCTGTTTAGGCATACAGCAAGTATATATCAGTGCGAGGGTGCAGCTGAAGTGGGACTAGAGAGAGGCATTGTATGTTACACATCTTTCTTTAATCTGCAGTCTTTAGCAGTGTCCCTATGGGTTAAATTTTATGTATTAGTCCTTTTAAAAAAGCACCAGTTGAATATTTTTTCTGATTTTATAATTTCACCCAATCAAATTGAGGGTATGTTTTCATTTGTGGGCCACTGGGACAGAAGAAAAAATGCTGCACAGTCCCACACAAATCAGGACATCTAGTCAACCTATGCGTAGTAGGAGCCTCTATACAGCCAGTGTGACCAAATAAAAATATAAAAATGCATCGTAGCTTGCAGAGCTGGACGTGTGACCCAGTTTTTAGTCATCTGACTGGAGACAATAACCATCTTTGTCTGTCTTCTCTTTCAAATCTATTTCTTAAACGGTCTCTGGAGTGAGAGTGTTATTGACTCGTGGTTTGTTGCACCTTTTCTAAAAGAAACCAAAGAAGTATCATAAGCAGTAAAATTATAATAACCGTATCTAATTTGTTTGTGTCTTAATCTTAAAATACTGTGTGTTCTTGGTTACAGCCTTCTAATCTCTGTCCCGTTCTCAGGTTCATGTTCAGGGTGAAGGTTGGAGAGATGCTGTTTGCTGAAGCCTCGGCACCAAGCAAGAAGGTGGCCCGTCAGCTGGCAGCAGAGGAGGCTGTTAAAGAATTAATGGCCGATGGAAAACTGCAGGTAAACAAGGTAAGATATTGAAAGAGAATCTTAAGGAGTTGATATTATTATGCTTTTTTAGCCCCATCTAGTTTCTACAAAGAACCTGCTTCTCTCCTGTTCACACAAAATGATTAAGACCTGTATGTATAAACAGGAGCTGGAAATGATTTACACTATTTTACATTTCATCACATCATTAAACTTTGGTATATGTATTTTTTTAACACTACAAAGAAGTGGATATTAATAATAATAAAAAGTGAAAAAGATCTTTAAAAAGCTATTGGAAAAACTGCATCATTAAGGCCAGGACAATACAGTTTGAAACACCCCATGGAGCACTGCTTAATCTATCAACTGAAAAGGAGAAATGTGTTGTAGAACTGCAAACCTACTCAGGCATGTCTCTTTATTTAAACTGACAGGCCAGGCAAAGAGGGCAGTGGGGGAAAAAAGGAGAAGCTCCCAAGGGAGCAACAGACATCATGCACTCAGATGGAAAATATATCGTATGACAATTATTAGTCCATCCTTCTGATTTCGGTGAATAGTTAGAAATCATTACTTTCATTTTGCCTTAAGCCTTGAAGAAAGAAAGTAAAGGTTCATGCAAGACACCAAGTGGGGTCGAAGTGTGTTATTGTGCATGTAAAATACTTAAAGTGGGTTCACTGCCATACAGAAAGGTAAAGAGAGTTTCAACTTTCATGCAGATCCATGCACGAGTAGAAGCATGCACTTTTACACAAAAGGGTTAAAGTAAAGTCATGCAATAATGGAGTCTGGACAAGGAAGTTTTTGACATTACCACAAAAATAACATCCTAAAATAAAACATCTACAGGCTTATGCTCAGTGCAAAGGAAAATAAAAAAAAATCGCAATAATGGTGAAAAACAATCGTTTAGCCCCACACATGAACCACTTGGCTGATTGAAAGTTGCATAGAGCTGAAAGCAGGAAAGTCCTGGAAGAAATCTGCAGAGGCTGGGTTAGAGGTTCACCCTCCTACAAGATGACAACCTTTAGCATGAAACTGGAACAACCATATCATACCTTAGAATGGCCCATCCATGGCCCATACCTAAATCTAGGTCAACATATTTTTTGTGAAACTTGAGTTGCAATGTTTAAATACACTTTCAGGTGTTAAAAATCTAGAAAACCATGCATCCTTTTTCTCTCACTTCAGTTTGTCCATTCAAAGAATCAAAATAAAATACACTCATGTTTTGAGTTCGTATATTAGCTAAGGGTGAAAAAGTATAGATGCAATCACAAACCAGCTAATGCTCAGTATTCATTTAATGCCAGATGTAGTAGAAATCTGTTCTTCTTGCTGACTATTTTACATCTCTGGTTTATTATTTCCCTGCCTTCCAGCCTCAGTTGCCCCTCACTCTGCCCCTTGAAGGAGATGGAGGTGCTTCCAGTGCCACCTGTCCTTCTTTGCCTCCTTTAACTGCGAGTGAATTGAGAGCTGCCCATGAGGCAGGGGTTGGGGACCTCATCAATCACCTGAACAACAACGCTGTGTCAGGTCTGCTGGAGTATGCCAGAGCCCGGGGCTTTGCTGCTGAGATTCGGCTGGTGAGCCAGTCTGGACCCCCACATGATCCTAAGTAAGTACGAACATTTGAGCTTTTAAATACTGAAAACCTTCTTTATGCTCAAGCCATTTCTTTGAAAGGTTTATCTACCAAGCCAAGCTGGGCGGACGGTGGTTTCCTTCAGTTTGTGCCTCCAACAAGAAACAAGGAAAGCAGGAAGCGGCAGATGCTGCGCTGCGGGTTTTGATTGGAGAAGCTGAGAGGGCGGCACGCACTGGAGAGCTAATTCCAACTGAGGTATCCACTGAAAACACATTCACTAATAATAACAAAGTCGTCCACATATGTGAAATATTGCGCTTGGCTTCAGATTGGCAACATGGGACAAAAGCTGCAGTACAGAAACATTTCACGTATAAGTAAACTGAAAATTTAACTTAACAATTAAAATACCTAATTGAGGAATAACTGGTTAAATTCTTAATTTATTGTCCTTTTAAGGGACAATTGATCATTTTGAACAAGGGTTGTGTTACAAGCTTAAAAATATATGTTTGTTATAAAAGTAGTGTACATAAGTGTAATCAGCATAGTGATAGAAATGATATATACTTGAATATTTTAGCATATAAAGGGCATCATATATAATCCAAACCAGCACAGTGCCCTTGCATTGATCCCTGCATGCTTGAGGCTTTATACTTTAATGCTGTGATCCATTTGATCAAAGACAGAGCTAAGATCTACTCAGGCAGGCACAGACATGAGTCCATCATCTTAGGCCATGGGAATATCATTATTTCATTCACTAGACCTTTAAATGCATTGGAACTCAGAACAATTACAGTGTGAACAGGGTGGGGCTTTAACAGAAGGTAGTAGTTATGACTGTCTAATCCCTAATCTGGTTCTGCAGTCAGTTCTTAGCTACCTCACCTACCGATATCTAGTTGACACGTTCAGAAGCATGTCAGGAAGTGGTAATTACTGGAGAATGAATAGATCAGCTATGAATGTGTCGGCATGGCTACCATTGATCTGCTCTTTGTTACACTTGCTCTGCAAAGTGTTTTTCAATACAACAATTTCATTCCACTTTCAGTATCTATTAGGTTTTAAATAAAAGGACAAAATAAACACAATGTAAGATATTAGCTGTTTAGCTTTTTAAGCTCGAGTAAAAACTCTCACCAACCTACAGGATCCATCTTAACACAATTACTGAAGCTCATGTCTGTTGGCCTACTGTAAATGAGCGTAGTCGGTGCAACCCAACATGCTGGAACAGGATCTGTTTGTTTTTTAAGCCCACCTCATTGCACAACGAGGAAATAATGTTCTTCTTGTCTCTGCATTTTTAATGATTGAAAGGGATTCTCTTTATGTACAGTTGATGGGAAAATCTGTAATAAACCTGAACGTAATTTGAGCCCTCATTCATCAAGCCGTACAGCAGGTTTTGGCTTGGGTGTGGTTTTTTTGTTTTATCTCCAGTGTATGAGACGTAAAGCCATTTAGAAGAACACATACTGTATTTTCTGCGCTATAGAGCGCACCTCACTACAAGCCGTGGCACAAAATTATTTGAAAAAAACTGGAAACTTCAAGATATAAAGTACACCTGGCTATAAGCCAATGATATCTACTGAATTGTCTCCCACCGAACCTGTAGGGAGAGCTCTACTTATCACCCCTAGAGTAGGGACAAAGATGATAGCTGTCTCCTGTTAGCTTGTTTACTTACAGCATTAAGAGCTTCTACTGAAAGATGGGACTTTGTCAGCTCTTTATTTCAGCTCTGCAGGAGTTGAGCCCAGTCTCTTCATTGGTTTGGCAGCTTTAATGGAGCAAATAAAGGTCAAAATGTGCCAATTTGGTAGGGTTGGGAATTGAAAAGATTTTCACGATTCCGATTCCCTTTTCGATTCTATGAAACGATTCGATTCTTTGTCGATTCTTTTTTCGATTCCAATTTGGGGGAAAAAGGAGAACAAACAGTTTGATTATCAGCATCAACTTTGTTTGCACAATCTTACAAACTCAACAAGATCAAGATGTCCACAGGAAATGTGAAACTGGAGTAACATCTGTGTTTAAATGAAAAATGAATACAAGAACAAACTTAATAACCAACAATGTCTAATAACAAATGATGGGATAATAACCTATTTTAAATAACAAAAAATACTAATTATAAAACAGTAGTAGGGAAAATGAACAGTTATTTTGCAGAAAGATGAGCATATCTGCTTTTTCTGAAAGGATACGGGATCTTTCAGCGCTTAAGGTGTTTCCAGCTGTGGAGAACACCCTCTCAGATGGGGTGCAGGAAGCCTGCACACAGAGGTAGTTTTCAGCCAGTCCAGATAGCAAGGGCAGCGTATCTTGCTTGTTCCACCACCACAGTGTGGCGCTATCCCTGCAGGGGATGGAGGGCAAGCTTTTATAGAGCTGGATTTCCTGATCTACCCTCTGGGCTAAGGAAAGACGGGGCTTTGATTCACAAAGTGACCGCAGCTCGTTGTCTTCCTCCTCGAATAGTTCTTCCAACTTGCATAACTTGTGTAACTTGCGTAACTTACGTAACGTACGTAAAAAACGTGACGTAAGTCGTGCTCCCCAGAGCCGGCGCTCTAGGCTCTGGTGCTGCGGGAATCGAAAAAAGAATCGTTCAGCAAGCTGCCAAACGATGCCATGGAATCGGAAAATACGGAACCGGTTCTGAACAGGAACCGGTTTTCGATTCCCATCCCTACAATTTGGGATTTTTTTTCTCCATCATGTCAGCTGCTAGATTGCTCTTGTGCTTAATGAAAATTAGCCCCTTATTCTTTCATTTCCAACTTTGACTTCACCCTCTGGCGGTAAGGAAAAATCCACAGAACAGCCGCACAATGTTTGAAAGCTTCTTGTTTACTTCTTTCTTTGCAGCTACCGGTTAGCGGCAGCACTTTGCACGACCAGATAGCCATGTTGAGCCACCAGCGTTTCAACGCCCTGACCACCCGCATCCAGCACAGCCTCCTGGGACGCAAGATTCTGGCTACCATCGTCATGAGAAGAGGGGAGGGACTGGGAACTGTCGTCAGCCTTGGAACTGGTAAATTCATGACATACAGGTGCTGGTCATAAAATTAGAATATCATGAAAAAGTAGATTGATTTCAGTAATTCCATTTAAAAAGTGAAACTTGTATATTATATTCATACATTACATACAAACTCATATATTTCAGATGTTTATTTTGTTTAATTTTGATGATTACAAATGACAACAAATGAAAATCTCAAATTCATCATATCAGAAAATTAGAATATTGTGAAAAGGTTCAAAATTGATGGCCCCTGGTGCCACACTCTAATCAGCTAATTAACTCAAACCACCTGCAAAAGCCTTTAAATGGTCTTTCAGTCTAGTTCTATAGGCTACACAATCATGGGGAAGACTGCTGACTTGACAGTTGTCCAAAAGACGACCATCGACACCTTGCACAAGGAGGGCAAGACACAAAAGGTCATCGCTAAAGAGGCTGGCTGTTCACAGAGCTCAGTGTCCAAGCACATTAATAGAGAGGCGAAGGGAAGGAAAAGATGTGGTCGAAAAAAGTGTACAAGCAAGAGAGATAACCACACCCTGGAGAGGATTGTGAAACAAAACCCCTTCAAAAATGTGGGGGAGATTCACAAAGAGTGGACTGCAGCTGGAGTGAGTGCTTCAAGAACCACCACACACAGACGTATGAAAGACATGGGTTTCTGCTGTCGCATTCCTTGTGTCAAGCCACTCTTGAACCACAGACAGCGTCAGAAGCGTCTTGCCTGGGCTAAAGAGAAACAGGACTGGACTGCTGGTGAGTGGTCCAAAGTCATGTTCTCTGATGAAAGTAAATTTTGCATTTCCTTTGGAAATCAAGGTCCCAGAGTCTGGAGGAAAAGAAGAGAGGCGCTTCATCCACGTTGCTTGAAGTCCAGTGTAAAGTTTCCACAGTCAGTGATGGTTTGGGGTGCCATGTCATCTGCTGGTGTTGGTCCATTGTGTTTTCTGAGGTCCAGGGTCAACGCAGCCACATACCAGGAAGTTTTAGAGCACTTCATGCTTCCTGCAGCTGACCAACTTTTTGGAGATGCAGATTTCATTTTCCAACAGGACTTGGCACCTGCACACAGTGCCAAAGCTACCAGTACCTGGTTGAAGGACCATGGTATCCCTGTTCTTAATTGGCCAGCAAACTCTCCTGACCTTAACCCCATAGAAAATCTATGGGGTATTGTGAAGAAGAAGATGCAATACACCAGACCCAACAATTCAGAAGAGCTAAAAGCCACTATTAGAGCAACCTGGGCTATCATAACACCTGAGCAGTGCCACAGACTGATCGACTCCATGCCACGCCGCATTGCTGCAGTAATACAGGCCAAAGGAGGCCCAACTAAATACTGAGTGCTGTACATGCTCATACTTTTCATGTTCATACTTTTCAGTTGGCCAACATTTCTATAAATCCTTTGTTTTTATTGGTCTTCAGTAATATTCTAATTTTCTGATATGATGAATTTGAGATTTTCATTTGTTGTCATTTGTAATCATCAAAATTAAACAAAATAAACATCTGAAATATATGAGTTTGTATGTAATGTATGAATATAATATACACGTTTCACTTTTTAAATGGAATTACTGAAATCAATCTACTTTTTCATGATATTCTAATTTTATGACCAGCACCTGTATAACAAAAGTTGGGTTGGTAAAACGGGAAAAAAAAAGTGTTGTCCCTGCATTATTTTGTCTGTATATTTTGTTGTTTTTCTTTGCTTAGAGGCAAGTGCTGTAACAAATCTAATACGTGTGGATCACACAAGACTTTGTTGTCATGTTGGTTGACTTGGATTTTTCCTTTTCTTTTATGTGTCAGGAAATCGTTGTGTCAAAGGGGAGGAGCTGAGCCTTAAAGGAGAGACTGTAAACGACTGTCATGCTGAAATCATCTCCAGGAGGGGATTTATCCGGTAGAAATGGATACCACACTCGTTTATTGATGCTTCTCCCACATTTCTAAAAATACGCTCTCCTCTCCCAGAAACAGCCAGCGCGACTTTATTTTGAGACGTAACCCATCGTCTCCTTTCCTCTCAGGTTTCTGTATAGCGAGCTGCTCAAGCACTGTGATGGAGCAGACGACAGCATTTTTGAGCCAGCAGAGGAGAACAAACTCAAGATCAAATCTGACATCACGTTTCACCTTTACATCAGGTTGGGGCATCTTGCTAGACCTTTTAATCTTATTTTGGCTCTTGTCAGACATTCATGTTGTTCCTCTTCCCTCTTCCACAGCACTGCACCTTGTGGGGATGGAGCCCTGTTCGATAAGTCATGCAGTGAGGCAGGAGATGAAACCCAGGGGCACAAGCCTCTCTTTGAGAACGCAAAGCAGGGCAAGCTTCGCACTAAAGTGGAGAATGGTCAGACAACACATTTAAATAAACCAGCAAAAGGGGGACATTACAGTGGATATATAAAAGTCTGCTTTTGATACATTAACTGGATTTTGTGATGTTAAAAGATGAGACTCTGATAAATCATTTTCTGCACTTATTCTACATGTAATGTGTCAAATCCCATATCTAAAAAAAAAAGCTTTTAAGGGGAAAAATTATAGTGCTTTGTTGAAGCACCTCTTAACGTCCCTTAATTTTGCCACACTTGTCACATTTGGCCCATTTCAAACAGACCAAAGTTTGTTTCCCCACTTGTTCTGCACCTTCTGTACAGGTGTGAATAAAGACCAAACAACTACAGAGACCCGCTTTGCAGACACACACTACTTAGAGCTACCTACATTATGTAAAGGGGTGAAAGGAAGCGGTACTGTGAACCACTGCGGTCAGTGGTGGTACCCAGTACTAGAAAGAAAGAGCAGCTGCCATTGTAATAAGCCAATCTAAGCGCACAGTGATTCTGATGTGCATTCCAGTCGGATACATGCTCACTCAGTTTGTGTCTGGCACAACACTCTATTCTGCCTGTAAGCCTTTGGAGATAATGGGTTTCAAAACACGCAATGAGCGTGTTGCATCCTGTCTGAAATGCCAATTAGCGTCAGTTTTGCACTTGGCAGTCTGCACTCAAGACCTAATAAATTTTAAGGCTATATTCAGTTCAAACATGTTATTTAGTGTAAAAAAAAAAGGTGTCCAGCATCTTAACTCGGATGCTTGTGCATCAGGAAATAAGACTCCCAGAAATCTGCATGCTCAGTGCTCCGGTGTTGAGCTATTCTTCTGCTGGCTTTTGTTTTGTTATTTTTTGTTGACCCACTGCCCATCTTATATCTCTTTTGGTGATACTACTCAGTGTTGTTTTGTGCCAAATCATGTAATCATAACCTTAAGCTTGTTTTTAACATCCATCTCATAGTTTTGGGATATTTCCAATTTTTAGCCTTGCTTAGATTATTTTGTTTTAATAAGACATATATGTTGTTATGGGTGATGCAGTAACAGCAAATGGTCATGTTCCTTCAGGCCTCTTGGCAGCCTCAGTGGCCAGTTTTCTTCTCATTGTGTCGTCACTTTTGTAAGGGTGTTCAGTTCCTGCTAATACTGCTGTGCTGTATTTCTTTCTACTTCTGACCGTCCTAACGATGTTCAGTTTCTTATGCCATGGAAATTGTGTCTGTCTCCCGACTGAAACCTTTTAACAGTGAAATCGCTCGAATGATTTGGAAGCTCCTTGCAAACTTTATTTTTTCTGAAAGATGCAGCATATTTCAGGAAACAGCTAACCTTTACTAAAACAGCGGCTGTTTCCCCGGGATTAGTCTAATAATCTGTGGTTAATTCTGGCCTCTGATTCAACGTGGATTGTAATGTGGGGGGATTGTGATCACAGTGGCACCCCAGCTATGAAATTATTTCTTAATTTTCGCTTCACATATCATAGGTCAAATTACATGTGGGGAAAAAATGCAACATTGTCTCACATTTTACTTCACAAAAAGCTACCATTTGAACAGGCCTTAGTAGGCTTTTTTATATCTGCTGAATGTGCCACGATGCTATTACTTGTTGTGCTGAATGAACTGATGGTGTTTTTGAAAGAGTTAAAGCTTTCCTGCTGCTATTTGCAGGTGAGGGGACCATCCCGGTAGAGTCGAGCGCCATTGTCCCCACCTGGGACGGCATCCAGCACGGTGAAAGGCTGCGAACCATGAGCTGTAGTGATAAGATTCTGCGCTGGAATGTGCTGGGCCTGCAGGGGGCACTGCTCTCTCATTTCTTACATCCCATCTATTTGAAGTCCATCACGCTGGGTAAAATCATGCTGCTGATTGGTGGTTGTTAAAATCTTAGACAAGCATTTAGAAGATTTAGCACTGGTAAAAAAGGATCGCTTCCACACTGACAGATTTCTGTCTTACATCATATCAGGCTATCTGTACAGCCACGGTCACCTGACGCGTGCGGTCTGCTGCCGGCTTGCCAGAGACGGTGAGGCCTTCTCCCAGAGTCTCCCTCCTCCCTTCACTCTGAACCACCCTGAGGTAAGAGCATAAGTTGCTCTCTAATCAGGACATAAATCAGAAACATTGAGGTCATTTTCAGTAAATTAATTAATGAAGCTGCCAACGGTCTTATATTGTGCCTGCACAGCTGTTTTTATTGTGCGGCGTCTGTTAATGGAACTCATCCATCAATTAACAAAAAGCAGAAGAGTTCTTGTTGTGCTGCCAGGAAAAAAATATCCACAATCACATCATTCATATCAGTTAATGCTGTAAGGGGCGTCTGTATCAAGCAAGTACTACAGTTCAGCCCACATTTATTCTGCACTAAAGGTCCACTAATAGCAGTTTTCTGGTCAGATCTTTAAAAGGCCTGACTGCTGATTTTAAATCTGGTTTAATATCGACTTTGTTAATGGTTGACACTATCAGATATTATCAGGTCACAACACAGCTCCAGTCTTCCAATCTTATTTAATTTAAAAACATTTAATTGTACTCAGGAAACATCACAAACTTGTTTAAATTGCACATGAGGTAGTGCCATAAAATAAAAATTCAAGGTTTAGAGCATCGATATTGGCTGATTTTCAGACCTTTGTGAAGGTATATGGTACGTAACTAAATACAAAATGCTTTGATTCATTAAAAAGATGGGAAGTCTTGGTTGGAAGGCTTCTCCAGAGTCAAGACTCCTTCCAGCAACCTGAGGGACTCTCCTCCACTTCCTGGTGTATCATAAATGGTCCTCTCCTCAGTCCAGTTCTTTGAATCTCACCTAGAAGCAGAAAGTTAAAGATTTAAATAATGAGCTTTTTATCAAATGTGGTAACACATATTAATGAATGACAGTTTTAAATCTATATCACAAAAAATAAGTTATAATTAATTGTGCTAGAGTGAAAGAAGACACTGAATATAATACATTGTGTGAAGCATAGAAATGGCTGGAGGAACCTCAGTAGTGATCTTTGCAGATTGAGTTAGGGTCCTTACCTTTCTTCCTACTGTGCATTATGGCACAAGATAGACGGATCCTTATCCCATGTCCAGTTCTTCATTTTGTCTAACCCACTTAAAGAAACTGCTTTGTTGCTATGATATAGCTTTCTGATGTCAGCTGATACGATATAAGCAAGAATCATACATACCTTTTTTTACTGGAATTTATAAAAAGATTTTGATCAAATTCAATTACTCAAGCAGAGAAAAATAGTAACAACGACAGGTGCAATAACAGCTGACTAACTGATTATTAACCAATGTGTTCGATAAACTTTTGACAAAAACGAAGTGTTTTTATCTGCATGTCAATATTGGAATCTTTAGGTATAGGCTGATATTAGACCAGGACATTACAGGTCACATCATATTTACATCATGCATTTTGAATTATGAAAGTTTCCCAGAAACTCTAATGGTCTTAATGAAAAAGAAGACAAATATCACCAGTTTACTTTATTGTTTTGTGTTCTACATGTTAGTATGGATGCACATAATTAAGTCCTTGGTGAGTTTAACAGTCTGTGCTTAACATTACAAAGAAAACAAAATGGGACTTTATTCTCTGAAGGTTCTTTTTCATAGATTTCAGTGTGATATCAGGCTGGTACAATGAAAGATGCATTTTGTTTAACTCTCTGTACACATCCTCACTGATGGTATTAGTGTTTTGTCTAAGACTTTGTATTTGAAATTGCAGACTTGCATTTTGCATTAGATCCAAACATTTTTCCTCTCTGCTGAACTCCAGGTGGGCAGAGTGAGTGTGTACGACTCCACCAGGCACACAGGCAAGACCAAGGAGTCCAGTGTGAACTGGAGCTTTCCAGACCAGCACAATGTAGAGGTTCTGGATGGGACCAAAGGAAAGCTAGATGGGTATGTGTCAAACTGTTACCTCTTGTTCATGCTGGAAATGTAATTGTTCTGTAGCCTCATAGGTCTGTTATCTTTAGTCAGAAGCTGAAGATTCTATTTAGGATGTTTTAGAACTTGATGCTGTTAAACATTTACATTATTTACACTTATGCTGATGTCCTTTTGGCCAGGTCTCTCTTGCAAAAGACATTTTACATCTAAATGGGACTAACCTGGTTAAATAAAGGCCAAAAAAAAATAACATTTTGTGGATGTTAGTTTCGAATGTTGTCAGAGTCTACTAGCTATCACTAACTAGTAGTCATAGCTAATTAGCCAATGCTGATCCCCGAAAAAATGCTAATATCAGCTGGCCAATGTATTGGCCTATCTGTAGTATATCATTAAATGTAAAACAAACAAGCTACAAAAACATAAAATACTGTTGAAATAAATGTTTCACAGCTGAAATGAGCAGATGTTGAGATTTATGGTTAAAATCTCTCTAAAAAAACTTTATGACTAATTTGTTAGTTCGTTGTGCTCTTTTTTATGTGAAAGGGGTTCCTAAGCATGTAAACTGCTTCTGCAGATATATTTCAGTGGATTTAAAGAGAGAGATGAGCAGTTATAAGAAGAAGGTCAGCGTCATCAGATAGAGCATACTTTTAGGGCGCAGATCGCTTTTTAGAGGCGGCAGCATTGAGGAAGAGCAGCAGACACAATGGATGATTTTAGGACTTAAAAACATCACTTGACTTGTATTGATTTCAATCTTAGAAACCACAGTGATGCATTCATTGTAATATACCCTATGCATTTACAGTCATAAGAGAAGATTCGTTTTTTTAAGTTAACCTGTGTTCATGCGCTCCCTTCCTAGATAATGGATTATCTGTGTTAAATAGATGGTAAAGTACGGTTGTTAACTAAAAAAAAAACTCAACTGTATTTTGCTTTATATAGCTTTAGAGCTTTAATTTGCAACATAAAAGTACCAAAAATCAGCATGTGTAATTAATTTTACAGTTATTTATATCAGATATATATCAGTTACAGATATAATGGCTTCTACATTGGTCTCCATCAGTACATAACTAACCAATTATTTAAAATGTCCCCCTTCAGGAACAAACAGGCCATGTCCCGCGTGTCCAAATCCACCCTCTTCTGCATGTTTCGCTCTCTGTGCCAGAGGTACGGCCGCACAGACCTCTCTCTATCCTCCTACGCTCAGGCCAAGACGTCGGCCATGCCCTTCCAACTTGCCAAGCAGCGGTTCTTTGAAGCTCTTTGCGTCCACGGCTACGGAGCCTGGATCGGGAAGCCGCTGGAAGAGAAGAGCTTTGAGGCTTTTGAGGCAACTGGATACAATGGGGGGGGTGTCCATGTGGGATATGGCAACAATAATAACGGAGGGGTAGTCGAGTGCAAGCAGGAGGAGGCGTAGGCCCATGTACTTAAAAAAATTATTCATCTGTGAGGGAAATGGAGAGCAGGGTATGATTTAGGAGAGGGGGTGGGTTTTGCAGACATGAAGTAAAAGTACAATCAAACAGCACACAGCCAGTGGCCAGAACTGTATCTTCTGATGAAACATGTTTGAAGGGTGCAGGGAGAGTGATAGAAAGGGACAAGACGAGTCAAGGGCAAAGCCTGAAGTATGAATGAGGTTACAGTTGACATTACAGAGATCCACAGGCTGTGCAGAGCTCTGTATACACTACATGCAAAAGAAACTTTCTGCATCCATGTTCCTTCTCTGTCAGCGTTCAATGGCTCAACCGAAACTATGTCATTTTCTTTTCCAATTTTATTTTTCAATTTCTGTCGATTGCGTGGTCTATTCTGTTTTAATTTTTTGCTTTAAAATCTTGTTTTCTTCTATTGGTTTAGAGGAAATTGTCAAACGGTCTGGACCAAGATGACTTCTACTGATTATATTAATTCTGTTTGCACCTAAAGCAGCAAAATGGTTTTGGCCTAATGTTACCCTGCATTTTAGCAGCGAATGAAATCACACCATGGTTAAAAAAAACAATTTTATTTTATATAACCATTATTTATGACATTGATATCCAAAATCTTTTTTTTTATATATATATATATAAAACAAAAAGCAGCAATTAAAGGTTAAAAATAAAGAACAAATGAATAATATTTTATAAATGTTTTACTTTATTTTATGGGGGAGCCGTATGAAAATGTAGATACTTGCTCTGGTTAACATTATTCAATAATGTGGCAGAGCAGCACCCATAGCAGGTTGAAGGGGTAATGAAGGATCTGGACTCAAATGCTTTTCTCCTGTGTGCGGTTATTAAAATTGTTCTAAAGTCAGAGTAAAAAATCACTCCAATCTAGGAAAAAGTTATTGCCCTAAAACTTGTTTTACTGATACTTTAAAACAAGACTTGAATTAGCCTGATTTGCATCTAGCTTTACAAAAGCATAGTCAAGAAATGTATTGTATATATAAAATGAATGGACATGTTTCTTTCAAAGAGCTTCCTCCAACAGTTTCTACCCTCTGAATAAATTTAAGATCCCTCACTGATGAAACACACCATCTTATCCACCTTTGTGTGATGGCGCCAGAATAGAAGAGAGCGATTTAGTGGCTCTTCTTATCTGGCTACAGGTAAGGGCTGATAAATCTCAGAATCAACCCCCGTTAATATGAATCTGAAATTAAAGAATAAAAAAACTGATCAGAAAGGATTTAAAAGAAAGACTGCTAACTCATTCTGCTGCCCACTTGAAACTAATAAAGTCGTAAAACCAATTAGTTAAACCTTTTACGTTTGAGGTTGACAACCCAACTGTTTTTCTAAATCTTCAATGTTCAGGGTTGAAAATTGAGCAAAAATTGAAAGTTTGTACTTGTGAAATAGATCTGCTTGTGTTATTGATGCTAACACATGAGAAGTGTTGGCGTAAAAAGTTATACATCATGTTTTTTGTCTGGTTTATAAGACAGAGGGCTTGTTGTAAAGACCAAAGAGGCCTCAGCAAAGTAGCAGCGGGATTGTTTTTGTATTTTTACGTTGCCGTTCACTTTAGGTGAATTCAGACTGAAACCGAATCATACATGTTTTTGTTATACACACTGAAAATGTCCTTATTTTGAGGTCAAATTACTGTTTATTATTACTTATATTGGAATTGAGGAATGCACTGACCTAATTTGATTTTCAGCAGTACGGTCTAGCTTTAACCCTTAATTTATAGGTTTTAGTTGAAGCATCTGGTTTTCTAATTCACACAAGTTTTACCTTTCAAGTTTGGTTTGATTCCTGGACATCCCTTAACATGGTGTCTCATATTTTCCACAAACTCAGCGTAGATTGCAGCATATTCCCTTTGTTGGTTTAATCTGTCCTGATATACAAGCTTTTATAGAGAAATGCTGGTATTGGTGTCTGAAACCAGTACACTATTGCTGTCCTTATGGCTTGTGCGGTTTTGTGTGTTTCTTTTAAATCTGTTATTGTTGTTCTTGTAAAGTTTGAAGCCTAAAATGTTGCTTTTAGCTACCACATGGGATGCAGTCAGAGCTTGATGTGTTGCCCTCTCAGGAGGTCTGTCGGGGAATATAGCTGCAAGGGGTGCTGTTTTCATCATTAAGAAGGATGTAATATATACATCAGTTCTGCACAAATACACGAATACACAGACATACGGTAGGTTTTAGAAGCCTGAGTCTAGTGTCAGGAACTCGTTTTGTTTATTAGCTGGTCGTTTTTTTTTAACAAATGCAAATAGATTCTTAAATGATTTGCTCCTTATAATAATAATAAAGCTCATATGCAGATATGCCTGAGAAGCTGTTGTTTGTTTTGGGGGTTTTATTCCAAGCAAGGAGAAGCTATGCAAGCACTCATTGTTACTTTAGGCCATTTTGTGTCTGCTGCCTTGGCAGAATTAATATTTGATTTTACTTTGGATTTTCTCTGATTTTCTTTCTTGCCCCCAGTTGCTGCTGTAGAACAGAGGGCACTTTGTTCAACATATTAGCAGTGTATACATTTCAGCTGTATCAGAGGGACTAAATCAACCATAAAGTAGCAATATTATTTATTCAAAATACAAAAATAGAGATGGAAATTAGATTATTGTTTGATGATGATGTGGACTCAGACCTCTGAAACCTGCTGTATGGATTAACAGTTGCTAGGAGTTTTATGCTTATATACAGCGTGTGTATCTGTGTGTGAATGTATTTGTGTTTCAAATGTATATAGTTTATAAAACAATAAAAAAAATTCATTTTTATATATATTTTCATGTAATTCTTTTTATTTAGATTCCAGTGAAATATTTCTTTTAAACATTTTACAATTTAGATACCGGTAGTAAAAATGGCAATTGATTTGTTTTATTTTGTATTTCAATGGTTGTGCACACAGGAGCTGAAAGGTCTCAGTGACATGCAGCACTTTCTGTTTTAAAAGAGCTGTTTCAATGGCACTAATGGAGGTGTATTAATCAGGGCTGCGTTCTAATTAATTAATTAATTGATCTACAGTTTTTACCATTTGAATAAAACCTCTAATAGTATACCCTTAAGGTAACATCTGCCATGAGAAAGGCCTAATAAGAATATATAAACACCTCAAATGATTTATGTTACACAGATTGTTGAAATAGCTTTGTTATTCCTCAAATACAGTTGTTTCTACTTTGGTACTAAGCCAATTAACATTAAAAACAATATTAAAAGGTCAATACAATAATCTGCATAAGGATCCAAACTCATGTGAAAATGTACCACCCATACACGTTTCTTCTCTTTTTACTAATTTGCATAATTGGTACTGATTTGTGAAATGTCTTAAATCATACAATATTATATCGCAGTGAGTTTTAGTAAATACAAAAGTCACACTGACAAAGATTGTTTTATGTTCAAAGAGAAACAGCAATGCAGCCTGTGGAAGCAGGGAAAAACCTCCAGAGCACTTGGCTTATGCAGAAGGGCAATGTTCCAAGTCGCATCTGAGAACGGAGATGAGGCTTTCAGCAGGGCCTAGTCAAAGTCTAGATATAACTATTTTCAAGACTTTACAGCCTTTCTTTGTGACTGAATTAATGAAATTCTAAAAGCAATAAACTAAAATTCCTCAACAACAAAGTAAAAGGTCACGTACAACATAGAGGCATATTGTTCCACCCTTCGTGATTGTCAATCCAATCAGTTATTAGCTGTTGTAGATTCTCAGTGAACCAGGACATAATAATCCTAAGCCTTAAATTAAATGATAGCTAGACTACTAGTTTGCTGAAGATGCTTCTCCAAAACTTGAGACGAGCCTTTTGGTTTAGGTAATAATTATTTTTCTGCACAGACCCAAGCTGGTTTGGACAGTGGGATTATTTTTAAACTTCTTTTAGTATTGTTATGTACTCTGTTTTTGTTATGTTAAAATTTGTTTGATCTGAAACAAAAAAAATAAAAATTTGTAAGAGGGAAAAATACCTTCACAAGACGAAGATTTTCACCCCTCATTTGTAACAAGTAAATCCCAATACAATGCTCTAAAGGATCAGCAGATGGTGATATGTGCACACATGAAGCCCCTGGGCTGCTCAGTGTCAACTACAGGCTGCCATTATATTCATGCTGGATTTCTGAGTGGATTATCCTATTATGGGTTTAGATTTGATCTACTACATTGAAATAAAGTTTTTAAATGTATTATGTTCTGTTTTCATACACATTTTCAACATATTTTATTTTAGAAACATATTTGATCAGAGATTTTTCTTTGAAGAAGCTGCTGAAAATTGATCAGGAATCACCAGATGAGCCAGGAAATATTTCTGGTCTAATTTTACTTAGAGGTGCAAAGGAATAGGTTGTGAGTGACATGAATTAAGATGCATGGTCTTAACATAAAGGAACATCCAAATTGGAAGCTAGTAAGATGATATAAATGACCGATTTAGGACATTTTACACATTTTTATATTCTTGGATAATTGTTGATATTCTGCTGGCTTCAAAACTATTTATAATATCTTTACATAAAAAGCTGTAATCAATGGTTTTTACTTTTTATTTATTTACTATAAATTAAAGGTATATTGTAGGATGTTCTTTTTCTGGGTGGATCATCAAAATAAGTGGTGATATGTTTACATAAGACCGTCCTACGTGCTCGTCCACATTTTCACTTACAGGTGGTGAGTATAGTGGAAAAATTGCAGATCTTCTTTTGGAAAGTAAGCTTGTTTAAGCGATGCAAACAGCAACTTTTAAACAGAGCGTGCACAAGGAGATATGGGCTCTCGCATGCATTTAATAGGCGTTCTCTAACACAGTGTTTTTCAATCCTGGTATGCTGCCCTGCATGTTTTAGATGTTTCCCAGTTTTCACACACCTGTTATCAATTGATAGCAGATTATCAGGCTTTGCTGAACTGGAATCGTCTGAATCAGGTGTGCTGAACCTCAGAAACATCCAAAACATGCAGAGCAGGGTGCCTTGAGAACCAGGATTGAAAAACACTGCTCTAACGTGAGCAGGTACGGGGTTGTTCATGTGCATTTTCTTTTTAAAGTGGAAAGGGCTGGTCTTTTCAAAAATTTGCGAAAATCCTCGAAAATACATTTAAGATTCCAGACCATCATCTGTTGCTTATAAATGTATAATAAATAAACCTTAAAATGTGTATCGTTCTTTTGCGTTTAGCCAATGTGAGTCAATACTTCTTAGAAGGCTGTGTAACCCAGAGGTATACCTCCTCTGGATTAACACATCTACAGATTGAAATTTCTAGCCGTTCCTCTTTCCAGATCAAAGGTATTATCTGACTGGATCCACGTATTTATTTTTGTTCTGTTTTTGTGGCAACTTGCAGAAGTCTTAAAATTTGCTTTCTTCTTGCTTATCCTTATAATGTTACGTTGAGGATAAAACTAATAGTTATCTTCTCAGTGGATTCCTCTGTCTGCTGTGGATATCTGCAGTCCTCTTGTTACCATGAGTCACGTGGCTTTTTTTGTTTTGTTTGTTTTTTTAA